AGTTCATGGTCGGGATAGGACTAAAAATCTACATGTTTATTCCTTATCGGGTTTAAGTACCCATAAACATATACATGCTATTCCTTATAGGGTTCAAGTACCCATAAAAAAGCAAAATGTTGCCCAACTATGACAGAGAAGTGGTCCAGACCATGTCGCTCAAGACATGTAGCAAAACAAGCAGCTATGTCAAGAGGCCTATCATGATCCAGCATGTCAGTATGTCTGATCCCTGCCCATGGGGGCGGATGTGTGGTTCCGATGATCAAGGTACTTCTGAAGTAAAGCTAGAGTGCTTATAATTCGCGTTTTTCGTAGTTATAAATTTGTGTGTGTGGGTGTGTACGTCTATACATAGATATAGGGTTGCCTTAACTTCTAACCCTATGGTTCCACGTCCCAAGATCCGTCAAGTAGTGGGTTTCACGTCGGCGAAGTGCGTGGAATCCTTAACTGAAATCTGTGCTCCTCAATCGGGCATTGAGGGACATCTTATGACAGAGATATATCGGGTTGTGTAGGGTATTATTGCGCTTAATTGTGCTTTGGTGGGTTTGCCCTAAAACCTAAACCCCCAAACCCTAAACCCCAAAACCCCAAACCCCTGAACCCCAAACCCCTAAACCCCAAACCCCTAAACAACCCCTAACCCCCTCAACCCTAAACCTCTAAACCCCTTCACCACTAAACCCCAAACCCTAAACCCCAAACCCCACACCCTAACCCCAAACCCTAGAAATCTCAAACAAAATCTAGATTCCGAACTCCTCGCCTCAGATCGAAAGCGCCGGAGCTGCAGGGCAGCCGTAGCACCTTTTTGCCCCGACGGCTTTTGCTTCGGGTCAGACTTCTCGGGCCTTTACAAGTACTTAAAGGATCATAGCTACAGGTGCCTTACCTATAACCTTAGTTACCAAGTCCCATGAATCTCCAAGTAGAATAGGGCTTAGAGTTTTGGTTAAAGGCTTAAAGTTTTGGGGCTAAGGGTTTTGGTTAAAGGTCTAGGGGTTTGGGGCTTAGGGTGCGGGTTAAAGGTTTAAGGAATTGGGGGTTAGGTGTTAGTTAACGGCTTAGGGGTTTGGGGCTTAGGGTTTTGGTTCAGAACTTCAGCCCCTAACCGCACTACCAAGGCCCCTAAAACTAAACCCGAAACCTCAAGTCCTCGGCCCTACGGTTGATGGTATAAATCCTGCATGACCTTAAGGACCCTAAACTATGGGAATTATGGTATATTCCTTATTATGGGTAATGCAGGATTTTGGCCATCAACAGTAGTCTGCCTACAAAGGCCCCTACGCTGCAGCAAACAGTGCACGTTTCGGCTCGGGCCCTGGACGTGTCGCAAACTGGCGCCAGGTGCGTGAAGTTCATGGGCCCGCCGTACAAGACCTCAGCAAACTGATAGTGAATGGCATCTTACAGTCTGTTGTAGATGTAGCGTATAGTGTGTTGTAGTATATTACAGTACACTTATCATATACCATAATGTACTATACTCATATCACAGCATATTATGGTGGGCTTGGGATGTCGGGGGAAATCTCGGAGCTCGGATTTAATTCGGTGCCTCATTCAAAGCCTGCGCCCCCAGAGTGGTCTCACAAGAGAACGTTTAGGACGACTTGCCCCTGGGAATTCCTTGTTACCCTAAACCCTAAGCCCCTACTGAAAGGATCATGAGACTTTCTCATTGGGGCTATAAGTAAGGTAGCTACACCTATCATTACTTTTAGCCTCAAATAATGTGCGTATATCCCTACTTGCTAAGTCCCATGATCCTCCAAGTAAACCTTGTTGTCCAGAGTTCGAGACAAAGCCGTCAGAGAGCTTCAGGGGCGGATCTAGCTTCAGGAAAACCTGCAAGTCAAGACAAGAACCTGTAGCCCCAAGACCCAGAAGATAGAAATCCTCAAGGGAACCCCAAAGCTCTGCGGGAAAAACTCAACCGCCAAAACCCTAATGTCCGAAAACCCGCAACCCAAAGTTCGCAGCCCTTTACCCCATGAGACCCCAAACCCTTACCCAAGTGCATCCGGGTCCAATGATCTCTTCCCTTTTTCCTCGATCCGCACACGAAAGCCAGCAAGCGTCCTCCGCGTCGGCGCAGTACACCTCAGCTTGCTTGAAAGTTTATGCCTTAGCCCAGAGAGCCCAATACCCCTTGATTAAGGAATATAGCCTAAATCATAATATGAAGCCCCTAATGGTTTAAGGTATCTTCCTTAATTAAGAGGTATTGGGCTCTCTGGGAGCTTGGTTTCGGGTTCAGGGCATGAAATACGTAAATAGCGATGAAAATGGTAGGCAGCTTCAGGAAACGAGAATTTCTCTCGTCTCCTGTTGCTCAAGATAAACACTCAGGTCCGACTTCACAAAGGGCTTGAACCCTGAGGCCTCAACCCTAAACCCCTCAACCCTAAACCCCTAAACCCTAAACCCCTAAACCCCTAAACCCCTAAACCCGTCAACCCTGCTTCAAAGTTCGGGAGTACACATAGCCGGAGGTAGGAGCTGGCTGGCGACAGCTTCTGGTTCGGGGTTGTGCCCACAGATTGAGGAACACAGGCAGGCCTCATGGGGAAGCTAGCCTTATGGTTCAGAATAAGGCCTCAGCCTCAACGTCTCATGGCTCACAAAACTAGAGTCAAAGATTCAAGCTTGAGGCCTTTGAGCTTGCTCTTGGCGACTTGGCTTGGATGCTTTTCGGGCTTCGAGTTTCCGGTGTTTTGCAAGCCCGCTTCTTGCTGTTACTGTGCAGCAGGAGCAGCAGCAGCGACAGCAGCAGGTTCTCCAGATCCGTGCAAGCTGCCAAGATTCCAGCAGGACCTGCCAGAGGCAAAAAGCTCAAGCCTAAACCTGCAAACGATGACTCTCAAGACAGACTGTCTAACACAAGCTTCGCCAACCCTAAGCTCAGAGAAGTACGTACTAAACTAGCCTGAGCAACTATTGTTGCCACTGCTGTAAGCGGTGCTGTTGCTTCTTACTGCTATCAGTCAGCATGACCATGAACACTCGCATATCATTACTACACATCATGTTCTCCTCTGGTATGCCAGCAGCAGCAGCAGCAGCAGAACCACCATCACCACCACCATCACCACACGAGTGCCACTCTTGACGGCAATGGTTCCATGCAGTGCCGCGGCTCAGGGCTAGGGGTGCAGAGTTTACTGCTTTTCGGAGTTGGACGGCCTCACTGACTCTGCGGCCAACAGACTCAGGTTGGGGATCAACGGTGCATGGCCCGAGATCTAGATGGGAGTTTCCGAAAATTAGGGGTACCGAACTTTGGGGTCCCTATAATTTCATCCTACTATTTAAGGTACTATAATAGGGCCCCCTATGTTCGGAAACTCCCAGATGAAAAGGGCAAGGGGCTGCGCTATGCGAGTTTTTCCCGACAGTTTAGGTTACTCGAAGAAGATATGGAAATGCTAGCAAGACCCTGATAGCCTAATTTCGTGCTACGAGGCCAGATCACAAGTCTACAGAGCCGTGCATTCGCATCCCAAGAGTGGCCACGATCATAGAATGCAGCTCACCCACGTGACGAGGGCATGGGCGGGTGGGAGTCTTGGGCAGGGCCTCTCTTTACAACGGCTGCTCAACCTACTGTAAGCAGACACTATGAAGCCTTAAAACCCGCCGCAACCAGACAACACCTACTTTGAAATAAAAAGACGTAAGGAAATCAGAGTCAGGAGACCCAAAAATGCAGTTAGGGTGAATTTCACCCTGGAAACCACGCTGAAACCCTAATGTATGGGCCTTGATTCCTGGAATATTTTGGGTTTTGGCGCCCAATTATGCTGTAGTTAGAACGAGGAACCCCCAAACTAGTGTTGGTAATATACTAAGGCCCCTATAGTAAGCCCTTAGCCAGCCTTGCTCATGAAGTTCGCGTCAGCGGCGGCCCTCGTGAGCCTTGAGGTTTGAAGTGAGCAAATGTGGTTATTTTTGGGTTTGTGTTCAGCAACTTAAGTTGAGTTACGACAATAGGGATCTATAAGAGGGATCTATAGTCGGGGTCTATCTATAATCGGGATCTACACTAAATAATATGGTATTTCTGCAATATGGTAACTTGCACTAACCTCCTGAACAAGAACCCAGTGTTGATTGGCTCCAAACCCCTTTCAGGGCTTTCCGGAGATTCCTCGCATTGACAGCCACGTTTAGGGTCTATGGTTTAGGATTTACGGCTTAAGGGGTTTAGGGCTTGATCTTACAGGAATTGCTCGTGGGAGTTTTTGGGCAGACACAAAGAAAGGTTTCGACAAAGCATAAATGCTAAAGGGCATAGCTTGTTCAGTCGCTGCATTCGCAAGTACCCATTACTCTTCCAAACACCGTGAATGACCAGGAAGTTAACAACTTTCTCACCCAGTCCTTTTCGAATGCGAACTGCACACTCGCAATTTCTCCGACAGGAGCATGTTTACCATGTGCCTCGGCAACGGCGGAGTCAACCATGCGCAAGGCTGCAGAGGACCACCTCAGACGCAACGTACATGCGCAGTGCAGTTGCGCGGCGCGACAGTGGTACGAAAGCTAGCCCCCAAAACAAGCGCTGAGTCGCGGCGAGTGACCGCCGCCCGTTTGTCGTCTACACAGCGATGACTACCTTGGCCATGGCAGCAGAGAATGCTTATGATCTGTGCCGCACACGTCTGCTCCGGCGCTGCATCTGCCGCCGGAAAACTAAAGACAAAACGAAGTTTCACTCAGACGATAAATGACGAGGATGCGCCCGAGCAGGACTTATGCGAAGAATCGTTGCAAATAGCAGCAGCATGCGAATACTGGTAGCAACACATCCTTGAATCCTAAGCTACAAAAACGTGCTGTAACTGCAGCCTTAAACCCAAACACTCTTCGCCTTTCTGTAAACACCTTTTATCCCAAATTTCAATAAACCATGAAACCTAAATTCTAAACCCTAGACCCTAAACCCCAAACCGCCTCTTCCGGAATGCGCACTTCCTCGCCGGTCTTCGCTAGCCATCCACCTTGCAGGAGAAATCATCTGAATCTAGAAACCTCAACGACCTCCGAACAGAACCCTATGAAATGCCCCTTAGCTAGAGCCGATGTAAAAGCCCCATAAGCCAAACCCGTCTAGCGTCTAAAACCTTACACCCAAAAGAGTATAGGTTCGGAGGAAGGCCTAGGGCTTCCATACGGCTTGATAGGGTTAGGGTTCAGGGTTTGGGGCTTAGGGTTTGATAAGGTTTTGCATAGGTTGCGTTCCCAAGATTTTGGGCTCCGACGTGGATGGCGGGAATGCGTCCAAATCTAGCAATCGGGTGGCAGTTAAATATTGTAGACCCCTGGCTTACAAAGCCATATACCGACGAGGGAGGACTTAGAGCAAGAATCCTAATACTAAAGTCCCTAAGTAAAGGTAGCGTGTCACTCTGGGTTCCAAGGGCTCTACAATTTGCACATTCACACACCCTCAAACCCAGAGACCCGGCTGCCAAACCACGTCGGCTTGCGACATTCAAGACCTAAACCCTAAACCCTCTTTGAGGTCCGGTTAAGGAGTTGGGGCTAGGTTGTTCTATATGCGGTTCGGGAATCTAACCCAAAGCCCGATTCTTACTATGAAGGCCCCCCCTAAACCCTAAACCCTAAACCCTAAACCCTAAACCGCCACACCCACACAAACTTCAAGCCTGCACACTAAAACCCAAAGCGGCCCTAAAGCCTTCAATCCTTCAAGCCAGGAACCCAAGACTCTCTAGCCGAAACCCGAGAAATCTAGGGGCCTTAATAATCAGAATAGGGTCTTGGGGCCCAGTATACTATAACTATAATTGATAAGGAACCCCCATAAAAATACAAGCAATAGATTAAGGCCCCTACACTAAACCCACATAATACCCCTTGTAGTAATCCTTATAGACCCCTCTTCGGAACCTTTAAAGGAACCCTCAGGTAAAGGCCCCTCTCTTAAACCCTGTCAAGACAGGTGAGAACCACTTTGGTGCCTCAGAAGCACGGCGCGAGACGCGAGGCGAGGCTTCCGGAGCGGCCTCGCTCAAACTTTTGACCCCTTTTAAGGGGCCCTTTTAAGGGATCTATAGGGGTACTATAAGAGTTTAGTGTTTAGGGTACTTAAAGGATCATGGGACTTAGTAGTTGGGTTCTAAGTAGGGTAGCTACAGCTATACTTACTTATGACCCCCAATTATTTCAAGCATTCTTTACCCTACTTACTAAGTCCGGTCCTTTAAGTAGGGGCCGTGGGGTTTAGGGGTTTAGGGGATTAGGGTTTAGGGGTTTAGGATTTAGGGTTTAAAATTAAGGGCCTTGGGGTTGAGGGCTTCAGGGCTGCAGGGTTTAGGGAAGGAGGAGGACGACAGCCAACACACGCACGACTGTGGTGGCTGAGGGCTTAGGAGTGGGGGGGTGTAAGCGGAGGGAGGTGGGAGTGACGTGCTTGCTTTATAACCGGACTCTGTGATCTGACGCATGCAAAGCAGAGGGGCCAGAGGTAGGGCTTAGGGGTGAGAGTCTATGAAAGTCATGACGTACGGGGAGGCTTCTACTCTGCTGTTGAAACTTCAACTTCAGGCTTTTGGGGGGCAGGGGGGGGTGCGGTGCTGACTCTTGCCATCAGCATCCACACTGCCAGGCACGAACACTACGTGACATACACTACCACTTGCTAGTACTTGCACGAGCATGATCACCATCTCTAGTCTCGTTCTCTGCATGCTTAATTCTGGTCTGTCTTTTTGATCGCAAAACCATGGTGGTTAAAATGACGACTAAGCGAGGATCGGGATCAGGACGGTGACCCTGATGAAGATAGTGGTGATGCCATGGTCCACCGATGAGTCTGGTTGGTGGTATCCCTCCTCCGCTGGTTGCATTCTTGCCTCACATCAGTTTGCTGTTGGATCCTACCATAGACTTTGCAAAGGCCATAGCCGACAAAGGGAACGGGCTTCAAGAGATCTGTGCTTCGCGTCCCAATCCCTAAACACCTCAAGCTGCAAACCCCAGAAACCCTACACAGTAAACCCTCCAACCATACTTGGAGAGGCAGGGGACTTAGTAAGTAGGGTGATAAGTAGGGTTATAATCGGGGTAACTCCACTTCGGGTACTTATAGCTCTACTTATTACCTGCTTACTAAGTCCCCTGCCCCTCCAAGTAATAAGCCTAAGAGCCATGAGCCCGACACCTTTGCACCCTGAACACCCTACAGCTTTGACCCTAAACCACAATGCCAATATGGAGGCCTGATTTGTTCGAATTGTGTTTTCTGGTATATTCGGGGATAGGTGTACCAGGAAAAGCCGGGGATAGTATTGCAACATGGCAGACCCCACATCAATCGACTAACCCTGAAGCTCCCCTTACGGAACCTGTATAAAACCCTTGTAGCACCCGTACAGAAACCCGATCCGATACTAGAGGGGCCTTAATAACTAGAATAGGGCTTTGAGGCCCATTATACTATAATTATAGCAAGGAACCCTAAGAATAGTACAGGTAATTATGTAGAACCCTAGTAGAACCCTGAATCCCAAACGATCCGCCTCAAATGCCGCAATGGACACTGCAGCCGGAGGGGCCGCCTTGAAGCTGATCGCAGGATCTTCCTGCGGAGAGGGGTCTTACTTAAAGGATCATGGAACTTAGTAAATACGTTATAATTGGGGTTATAAGTCCCCTAAGTGGGGTTATCCTAATTATAACCTACTTATAACCTTACTTACTAAGTCCCATGAGGCTTTAAGCAGGGTTTAGGGCTGCGTACTTGGAGGATCATGGGACTTACTCAGTAGGGATATAAGTACCTTCATTGGGGTTATAAGTACTTATAAGTGTAGCTTCCCCTACTTATAACTCAATTACTAAGTCCCATGATCCTTCAAGTAGGGTTGAGGGATTTAGGGATTGGGGTTTTAGGGTGTAGGGTTTGTGGCGGTTGGGGTGCAGGCTTTAGAGCTGGGTTCAGGGTTTGCGGTTTTGGGTAGGGTTGGAATTTTCGAGGCACCTATACCTTCACCAAAAAAGTGGTTCTGCAGGGTTGTGTGAAGGCGATAAGGGAACATACCCGAATGATAGTCCACATTTCCTCTCATCCGATGCAGACGTATTAGGGCTTTTGGGCCTCGACGGCGAAGGGCATTTGGTGGGGTTGGGGAGGGTTCGGAGCCACACGGGCTTGTAGGGGTTAGGGCCAGTAATAATCATACTAGTAATAATGAGAGTAGTAGTACTAATAATAATAATGAGAATAGTAGTACTAATAATAATGAGAATAGAAAATAACTAGACCCCTTCATTAGGGCTCCCGTCCTCATGGCGCCGGCTCTTCAGCAGCAATACCTGCTCTTGAGGTTGAAAACGACAGGCTCAAAGATTGCCTCAACACACTACTTGGAGGATCATGGGGCTAAGTAAGTAGAGTTATAAGTACCTTCATTGGGGTTATAAGTAATTCTAAGTGTAGATACCGTACTTATAACCCCAATTACTAAGTCCCATGATCCTTGAAGTAGAGGCGCCTGGACAGTCAGACAACGGTTCCTATACGGCTTCCTGAAGAGGTTAAAATTAGGGCCTAAAACGAGGGCCTGAATGAATAGCATAAAATTCTAGGGTATGTTTATGGTCTAAGTACGACAAGGAAACCCAAGGAATAGAATTACTTAGTGTTCAAGCTTGGATATTACGTCCTAGCCCCACAGCCCTTGTGGCAGCTGCTCTCCTCAAAACTCCTGTCCATACCTGCCAATGGATCTTGAACCTTGTATTCATGCTATGATGTACCCCAGATCCCTATTTAAGGCCTAGGCCTTGGGCTTTAGGGCTTAAGGCCTAGAGTTTGGGGCTTCAGCATTTTGGGTTGAAGCGCTTAGGGTTCAGGGCGTGGGCTGGCTTTGAGGTTTAGGATGTAGGATTCGGGCTTTGAAATTGAAAAGTTTTATTTTCCCAATGTTATGGGATTCAGGGGCGGGTGGGTGTTATTTCAAATTTGTAAATATAACTGTCCTGTAAAACTTCCCGGACCGGAGCTGCTGAACCCCTAAATCCTAAACCCTAACACCCCTAAACACCTAAACCCGAACCCCTAAACCCTAAACCCTAACCCCTAAACACCTAAACCCTAACCCCTAAACCCCAAACCCCCAAACCCCAAACCCTAAACCCTAAACCCTCAACTCCGCCTCCGGATCCCTCATCTGTGGTGCGCCCGCCTCGCGCAGCAGCGATGCCTGTGTCTCTTCGCTTTCTATAAGGGCCCTTCTATAAAGGTCCTTCCATAAGGGCTTCTATAAAGGATTCTGTTGGGTTCCTCTATAAGAGGTTCTTTCAGGGTCCTTCTTCTATAAGGGTTCCGTAAGGGGGCTTCTACAGGGTTCCTCTTTTAAGGGGTTCTATAAGGGCTTCTCTAGGAGTTTCTTCTACAAGTGTTTCGGGAAATGGCGTACGCTACAGGGTTGACGGCTCAGGGTTAAGAGCTTCAGGAGATGTGCAATTCTTAGGGCTTCGGGTTTCCTGATGTTTAGGGTTTATGGTCTCGGGTTGAGCGTGTAACATCACTATACCTCGGCTAGGTCCCCATCTAACTTTAAAGGCATGCCCAGAACCCTAGGTCAGTAGCTTTTCCGAAACACCCGTCGTCTGTACAGCTACCAATGCCCGCACCGCCCGTGATGGCCAAAGTCTACGGACTCAGACTCAGCGTCCGGGACAGTTAGGATATTAGGATACAGTCAATAGTTCAGGGTCTAGGGTTTAGGAAGGACCGTCTCCTCGTGGTTAAAGTACTCCTTAGACATAGCAGTACAAAATTCCCCATGGTGCCTCGTAGAACCCTGGTCATACACTGTCGCACGAGTTGCTGCAGGACAGGGCTTGCCCTATTGCTGCGATATCCCCCCGCAAGTCCAAAGGCCTCAACAACTCATGCTTGGCGGGTAGGGTTTAGGGTTTAGGGTTTAGGGTTTAGGGTTTAGGGTTTAGGGTTTAGGGTTGGCAGGGTTGAATGTTAAAAACCCCCCCTCCACCCTCGTGGGCCTTAACCCCTTAATCTTTACGAAGTTAAACCCACGAGCGGCGATGCGCGCGGAGCGAAATGTGAGCTCTAAACACATAGTAAATTTTACGGTGTAGGGTTGCAGGGCTTGGATTCTTGAAGCTTCGGGAGTAAAGAGTTTCTGGATACAAAAATCCAGGGCTTACGTGCTAAAGGTTTGTGGCTTCAAGCTGGGGGTTTGTGGAAGTTTTCGGGTCTGGTTCAGTAGTATCCGGGTCCCTAAACCCTAAACCCCTAAACCCTAAACCCTAAACCCCTAAACCCTAAACCCCTAAACCCTAAACCCAAACAAGCAGAACTTGCAGCCGAAGTCACTGTCATCTTTTGCCCCCACCTCTCCGCATAGGTCAACGCAGAGGCGCCACTGGTGTCGACCTTCGGAAAGTCAGGGTCCTCAAACGAAGGACTTTATATGTACGGCCTGTACGGCTATCTTGGGACCCCTTGTTCAAAAATCCTCCCAGTAAGAATGCAGGTTTCGGGCTGCCTGGATCGCAGAACACTTAGGCTTCAGCGGACTTTAGCGCTCCTACGTGCGATCTCCTTATGTAGTCAAGACGCACATTTAAAGCTCCTCCTTCTGATGTCCTTAGGCATTTCCCTGAAAAAGCAAAATTCCGATTGGCTTCCGATTATGAATTCCTTCAGTATTTCCTTCGGTAATTCCTTACAACAAGAAGTCTGTTCTTGTGATGGTCGAGGTTGCGCTTCCAAGCTGGGCTTCAGGCTCCGCAGGCTTTGATCCCCTGGTTTCGGGGCTCGCTCTTGGGTAGCAGTAGCAGTCGTCGTCGTCTTGGTGTAGGGGTGGTGGTAGTGGTGGTGTAGCAAAGGTAGCAGTGGTACTACTGGTAGTAGAGGTAGTAGTGGTAGTAGCAGCAAAAAGAGGGATTGTTCTTGTCGTCGTTGCTGCTGCTGGTGCTGTTGCTATTGTTGTCGTCGTCGTAGCAGTAGTCGTAGCAACAGTCGTAGCAGTCGTCGTCTACAGAACTCGTCATCGCATCGAACTTAATCCCGGATCTACGTATCTGAACCCTCATGCCTTAGCCCGCAGCCCTCATCCCAACCTGCTTCACGCTGGCGCCCGCTTTCAGCAGCCTGTTCACCATCTTAGCCTGAGCCGTTTGCTTAGCATCGAGGAAAAGGAAGTTGATGTGGTTTATGAAATACAAAAGCCGCTGGAGACTCTGAAGTTCAAAGAAGGACTGCAAATCCGGCTGCTGCTCTGAAGCAAAGCAGGAACTGAAAGCACAGTAAATTCAGAAATAAGCTTAGGCCGGGAAAGCTTGACCGGCGTGCCCAGTTCCTGACGATGACGTTGCTCAGGCTTTTTATCTCGTACTCTCCAAACTTCCAGCCCTGGAGCCTTTCTGAGGTGAGCCAACTCGCAGACCCTACACGCTTAAAGGATCATGGGACTTAGTAACTAGGGTTATAATTAGGGTAACTCTACTTCTAACTACTTATAACTCCAATTAAGGTACTTATAACCTTCACCTGCAAGACGAAGACCGGAGCACCCTAAGTGGGTGGTTGTCAAAATTATGGTCCGTTTTTGGGTCCCTAATATAATACGGCACCTATTGTTTAGGATGCCCACAAAGGGTGACCATAGTTTTGACAACCACCCAAGAAGAACCTTGAAAGAACCCTGACAAAGGTCTTTCTGAAGACTCTCACAAAACCCTGACCCGTTAGACGTTTGCAAGCTGAAGGGTCAGCCTCTCGGGGTTCAGGGTCTAGCAGCAGCACAATCTACATATGTACATACATACGTACACACATTCATACATTCATTCATTCATACATACATGCATACATACATAGGTACACACGTACATGTGTACTTATATGCACTAATAGACAGCTAGATAGATGGATAGACAGACGGATAGATAGATATATAGATAAAGATTGACAGATAGATAGACAGATCACATCGCGGCCATAGAGCCTGCTCCGCATCGCTGGCGCCGAGCCTGAAAGCAGGAGAGCAACTACCGACGTGCATGGGCCCCTACACTACAGTACCCGTTTAGTATCCCTCATAGTAGCCCTTATGGACCCCTTTGCAGACCTTCATTCGGCGGCAGTGGGACTCGAGGGGAATGGGATTGTTGAGGAATGAACATGGAGGTGTGTCCGTGTTAACATATTTTGTATGGTGGGGCTTCTTGTTGTGTCTGTTGATGACACTCACGTTTTAGATACTGTTGTTTGTGTACCTGTTGTTGCAGTTGTGGTTATCCTTTGGTGGTTGATGCTTGCGCTGTCCTTCCGACCTGCTTTAGATGATCATGACAAACCTAATAATTTGGAATGGATCTCGGGAGCCGTATATTGCACTTTACTTGATATACTTGCTGTAAACTTGCAACAAGGACTCTGGAGGGATACTGCTACCATTATTCCCACTCCTACATTGCTGCGATTCCTGTGGTTTAGGTTTCTGGATCCCAGGGTGCAATGGCGGCTCTTCTGGAGCTCAGGGGGCTTAGGTTTGGGTTTCGGGTCGTTGGATTCGGGGCTTTGAGTGTTGAGTGCGGGGTTTCGGGTTTCAGGCATGGGTTGCTGAGGGTCTGGGGTTCTCGCTGGGACTAAACAAGTGAGAAGGTTCAATAAGGCTTCCTTTCAGGGGTACTATAAGGGCTCCTCTAAGGGGCACTATAAGGGTTCCTAAGAATCAACACAACTTGAAATACATTTTTGAGTCTTTCTGGGGCGGGCTGGTAGGGGTCGGGGCGGACTCGACCCTCTTCCTCAGAACGCAGAATCCCCGAAGCCCTGACCGCTACGCTCTAAAATCATGCACTGACCCCTGAGCCTTGAACACGGTTTAGGGTTAAGGGCTCAGGGTTTGACCCCAAAATCCTGAAACCCTAAAACCCCAACGCTTCTTTAGGCCTCAATCTTAAAAAGAACAAGCATATCCCTTGCTGGGAGAGCCTTGACACTGAAGGCTGGTAGTCAGTTTACCAATATACATATCAGGTATCTGAAGTAGGGTTTGGCCATACGTTCTACTTAAGACACACTGAGCGTCAAGACATCCCGTAGAAACTGATGTGTCCGTTATACAACTGTTCCGACCTTCTTGCCTAATGCTATATCAGTTGCACGCGAGCGACACCACAACCCTTTCAAGTCCTCATCAAGGTCACTGTGTTGAAACCCTAAACCCTAAACCCTAAACCCCTTCAAGATCAAACCCGAACCTGAGATCAAGACCCCTCACGCAACAATATCAGCTCGAGGGGTATCTGAAACACCCCGCCCCCCCCCCCCCCCCCCTAAACCCCGAACCCCTAGACCCACAAACCCTAAACCCTTAAACCCTTAAACCCTAAACCCCCAAACCCTTAGTTTTTGCTAGCTCCCACGAAGCCTCAAGCAGGCTTCAATCCAAAGCCCTAGTCGGCGGGTCCTCAGACTCAGTACAGGGTTTCGGGGTAGGTCATAGTAAGCACCCCACCAGGATGACACTCGCATTTATTCAAGATTCTGTTGTGGTAATTGCTTCATGAACCCTCAACCTGTGATGAACCCTAAACCCGGATTGCAATCCTCAAGACTACCGCGAAGTTACAAACAACTAGGATACCTTACTTAGGGGTCCTCGTAGTAAGGATCTTTCTACCCTATTTTGTGAACTCCCATATCATGGAAGTTTGCTCAGAACCACTCTAAAACCTCCTGCCTTGCTGCCGCGAAGTGCATCGCCCCGCGTCCGAAGGCATCAGCGGACCCGACGCTGGCACGGCGGCCAAGAAGGGAGGCGACTGCCTGGTGCTTTAGGGGGCCTTAATTTTTCTAAGTGGGTTTTGAGCTAAATCGTACAATAAATCTATAGGGGGAGGTATACGTAATTATGCAGATGCAGAATCATCTGGGACAGGGCTCAAGGTTTCGAGCTGAGCGTCGAGAGTTGAGAGCTTGGGGAAGCTTCTACATGGGATCTTCAGAAAACAATGCCTTTCTTGCAGAATCCTAACTTCCCTACTATATAGAGCACCCCTAATACCTCGAACGAAGACTGGGAAGAGTTTGTCACGCATGGGCGTTCACGATTCGAGTAGGGCTTTGGGGGGACAGACTACTGTAATCATAATCGGAAGTATAGTGGACAATGTAGGGGCCTGAATAGATGGGAAAGGGCAAGTGGGGTATACTATACTATAATAAAACACTGATGGGGAGTAATTATAGGGGATGCTGCGATACTATTTGTGCTAATTCAGGCCACTCCGCGGCAGGTGGTCGTGTACTCAAGTAGAAACTTTGCCATGGTCCCGTCCAACGTCCAAGATGTCGAGGTTGAGCAGCGAAGAAGAATCGGAACTCCCGCCATGCCGGTGCTGCAGGTGACTTGCCGAAGAAAGCTGGCGCTGCCCGATGTCCACCGTCGTGCTTGCCATTGCTCGGAGGACTTCTCGATGCTAGGCCCCCAGCCCAACGCAAGACCCTCTGCAAAAGATGCACTCTCGTGATGCGCACGGTACTTCATTCATTCAGCCCTGACAACTTAGAACCATGGTAGAAATCATCCAACTCTAGGATTTAGCATACTGTTTCTTGGTCATATGTTGATAAGCTTTTTTACTTTTAGGAGACAGGCCTATATTATAACTTTAACGGGATGTTTATCGGAGAAAAGCTGAATATTCTCTTGGCTGCTTATTACCTAAGAACACTAAGAGAGCATTGCCTCGGATGCAACCGGGACTTGCATCTCGGTTTATCATCCGTAAACCCCGAAGCCCTCATCGCACTAGTTTAGGGTTTAGTGGTTTCGATTTTCTAAAAGGATTAGGGTTTAGTGGTTTTGATTTTGTAAGGGGCTTAGGGGCTTAGGGGTGTAGTGGTTTTGATTTTGTAAGGGGCTTAGGGGCTTAGGGGTGTAGTGGTTTTGATTTTGTAAAGGGTTTAGGGGTTTAGGGTGTAGTGTTTTTTTTTTTTTAAGTGTAGTGGCTCTTTCTCGTGTGTAGGGCGTTGGGCTCAGTAAACCCCGAGAGCCCTCAGCCTGGACCCTGCGCCGTAAACCAAAACGACTGAACCCGAAATTTCGAGGAACCTAGGGTTTCATCAGGGTTTAGGGTTTAAGTAGGGTTTAGGGTTTAGGGTTTAAGTAGGGTTTAGGGTTTAGGGGTTATCTAGGCTTCGATTAAGGCTTACCAGGACAATGCAAAACCTGCCGTTTTGGGATCCATATTATGCTTTCCTGGGGGTTGATATGGGGTTCAGAGCCCTGAACTCCAACCCAAAACACCCGAAGATGCGACCGAGGAATGTGGGGGGCCTTAACAGTTAAAACAGGGCATTGGGGCCCATTATACTATAACAGTAATTAGGAGCCCCCCCAAAATAGTATAGGTAATTATTAAGGCCTCTATAGTATGAGGGGACCTGCCTCTACACGCCCAGCAGATGCCGCATACCTTGCCGCGACTTACAGGGATTCAGGGCTTAGGGTTTCGGATTTCGTATTTAGGGCTGAAGGTTTCGCAGAGTTTAAAATGTGATTGAAGCAGAGCATTGTGCATTTCAAGGTTCAAGGTTTACGATGGTTTATGCCTTGTGGCATCTAATGTAGGGGCCTTATTAACTAGAATAGGATTTTGGGGCTACCTTACTATGACTATAGTATAGTTCACCCCCAAGGCCTGTTCTAATTATTCAGGCCCCTCCGTTAGCTTTTCGGCCTTCGTGAGGCTGAGAATACCCTCGTCTCCCAAGCAGCGTCAGCACCCACGAAAGCGAAACAGCAAAGGCCGTGACAAAGGGGTCTTCTTCTTAGAATAGGGTTTTGGGGCCCATTATACTATAATTCTAACAGACAAGCAACCCTCAAATTCGTATTGGCAAATGATTTAAGCCCCTATATAATAAATTTAGGATTGTCCGCCTGACTTTCGGAGCTTGGGATGTAGGGTTGAAGTTCAAGGATGCGCTTTCGAGACTAACAAATGCTGAATCCCAGCCCGAAACCCACACCCCAACAAAAGAAAGCAACTCCTTCCATTCAATCCCGAGCACATCACTGGGGTCTTCCCGCGGCAGCTGCTTCCGTTGACACTGACCCTCGGCACAGCCGCTACTGAGACGCCACGTTTTGGGTGGTTCCAGGCTTTGGGCTATCCTGGATTTTGAACCCAAACTCAACCCCTTAAAGCCTTAACACCTTGCCAAAACTCTACATGCCAAACTTTAAAATGTTTCTGCGGGGTTTACTCGTGCGACTTCACACCGAGACGACGATTCTATTGAGCCTGGAGCTCAACCGACTTTCAAGCACTGAAATCAAGCAAAGAAACTTTCAGAGCTGTTGCCTATAGTACGGGGTGATGATTGGTATGCACGCAAGCACGTATGTATGTATGTATGTATGTATGCACGTATATGTATGTGTATGTACGAAGGTTCTCGCATGCCTGTTTGTAAGTAGGCCAAGTCGCAAGCCCGAAGCATAAACCCAACCAATGGCAACACGAGATGCCAAGCCCCAAAGTCCAAAGCCAGAAAGAAGCAACTTGCTCAACTGCACAATTAAAGCTGGACCATTGGCCATGAACCGAAACCCGAAAAACCCTAACCCTAAACACAACCAGAAATTCTAAACCCGAAAACCTAAACCCATAAGCCCGACCGAACACCCTAAACTTCATCTTAAACCACTGAGACTGGCACCCGTCCATATCCTCCAGCGCCTCGAATGGCGGGCCACACAGTCGATCCCAAAAGCTGTGTTCCCAGAGACTCCAATATCCCTTAATTAAGGAATATTCCCGAAACAATAGTAGGATCCGTAATATGACTTAAGGAATCTGGAGTCTCCGGATTTCCTTGAGGGATCAGGGCGCTGGTCGAAAGCAGATGAAGGTCTTGGGTTCCAAAGTGCGCAATCCTATTACTAAGTTAACGACGATTCAATAGAGAATCAAGCTTCGTGCTCATATCGTAAACACTGACCCAAATTGGAACCCCTGAAGTTGTGAGCAGTAGTCCAGGCCAAGGGCTTGGCTTTGCCGTCTCAGATTGTTCAACATAAAGGGCCTCCTTTTGTTCGATAGAATTCTGGGTCATGTTGTTGTACAGCTAATAGGGACAGCAAGGGCTTTTTGGGGTTCAGGAGGATTTCGGCAAAGTTTGGGGTCTTGGGGAATCCGAGAATTGCGCAGTTCTCACTTCGGCTGACTCTGCTCGGTTCAGGATCCGTCTGCACCCCCTCAACAAGCAGAACAGGGCTTTGGTGTATATTCTGCTACAACGGTAATAAGGAACCCTAAGGAATGATTTTGGAACTGTTTGGGCTTCTCTATTACTGGAGTTTGCAGGCCTTCACACGCACCTTGCCGCTCACGTAAGTAAAGTTTTGATCTCTGATTTAGGATTTAATGCGCAGGGTTAGAATCAAGGGTGGCTAGCATACTATAGCTACCACTCCCAAACCCCGAACCCGTAAACCCCTATACCCTAAACCTGTGAACCCTAAACCCTAAACCCATCAACCCTCAACAGCAAAGCCTAAACCCGTCAACCCGTAAACCCTAATCCCTAAAGCCTACTTAAAGGATCATGGGACTTAGTAAATAGGTTATATTTGGGGTTATAAGTCCCCTAAGTGGGGCCATCCTAACTATAACCTACTTATAACCTTGCTTACTAAGTCCCATGAGCCTTTAAGTAAACCCCCAAATTGGAACCATCCAGTTACAGACTTCCCGGGCCTGCTCCAGCTCAGCCACATCACCCGCCGCAGCCAAACGCAGCACCGTGACCTTGCGCGATTTTGCGGAGGGTTTAGGGTTTGGGGTTTGGGGTTCAGCGGCTATGTCAACATGTAAGTTCTTGCCGAGTCTAGCCCTTGAGGTCAGTTGGGGGGCTGATCCTGCGGGAACATGCGAACGCGAGAGCTCAACCTTAGCATCCTACACCTGCAGAAGTCTTTTGGAGGATGAACCTCGCATTCCTTTTCAATCATGCATACACCAAAACCATTGAGACGGATGGCAAGGAGTTCAAACAGAGCATGTGGAGTGCAGTGTTCAGACGGGGGGACACAAGCTTCACGAGATCTGAAAATTTGGGTTGCACTTGCGGCTCTCCGCTGAACGCTAAACGCACAAACCCTAAACCCACAACCCCCAAACCCTAAAGCCTAAACCAAACCCTAAACCGGGAAGACCAAAAGAGCTCACCCGCATCCTCGCTCCAACTCACAGAATCGGTTAAGGCCCCCGGTTTAGGGATTTATTAGGGTTATGTAGGGTTTTGGGCGAATGATTTAGGGCTAAGGTTTCATGCTTAAGGTTTAGGGTTTATGAGCCCTGAATTCCTCAAGCCCTCCAAAGGACAACAGGCCTACATGGGGTTTCCGACAAGGCTTGTGTGGAAATTTGCGAAGAATTTTAATCTATGTAAGTTTAGCAGTTCAGGTACCTGCAGCCTGTTTCAGGTCGATACCCGGCTCCCACATCAATGCAGCACCACCCACACAGGGGAACACATTTACAGGATCCGTAAAACAACCCCTGCAAGTGCAGAGAATCCGGGGAAGGTATCCTTATGATATGGGAAGGCTTGCTGGTTAGAACAGGCTAGCGCAACACCGAAAATACAGAAGCCTAAGGTATGGCATCACCAAGTATAGGCTTCTGTGTTAGACCCTAAACTTAAACCCTACGCTCTAAAACCCCAAACCCTAACGCCCTAAAGCCCTAACCCTGAAACCCCACACCCTAAAGCCCAAAACCCTAAACCCTGAGCCCCACCCGAAACCCTAAACCCTATTCTACAGCACCCTTATAGAGCCCTTAAAGAATCCCCCCTTTAAAGGGACCCCTCCAACGACAAAAAAAACCGCGAAGAATTGCAGCTCTGCCTGGGAGGGCGCCGTCCTCGCAGGCTGCCGGTCTTCGAGCCTCGCCTCGGCGCCGAGGCGGAGAGCACTTTACGGGGTTTGGGGTTTCTAGGGTTCCTTCAAGATCTAGAGGGGCTCCTTTAAAGGGATCCATAAGGGATCTATAGGGTTTAGGGGTTAAGGTTTAGGGTTTAGGGCTTTAGGGCTTTAGGGCTTAAAGGGTTGGGAGTTTCCAAAAAAAGGGGACCCTCGTACAGTATACTACCATATTAGGGCTAAGGATTTAGGGTCTAGGGCTTAGGGTTTAGATTTTAGGGCTTAGTAGGGCTAGGGCTTAGGGTTTAGGGTTGATAGGGTGCTGGGTTTCATAACATGTACTGTAGTTTTCCTTTAAAGGGGTTTTATAAGGGCCACTATAAGGGCACTCTACTATTGGGGCCATAATACTAGTTAGAATAAGGTTTTGGTGTACATTATACTATACGTATAATTACTAAGGAACCCCTAAACATAGTATAAGTAGCATTAAGGCCCCCAAATTAACATCTACAGGCTTCTATGGCGACCCCATTGATGAACCCCGTCAAGTTCTCAAGGACTGCATGAACCCCATCGTGGCCCGTTGCAGGCCATCAAGTGGGGCTTAAGGTTACTTCAAGAGTTTTGGGCTTTCGGCCTTTATAGACCCTTACAAAGGGCCCTTGTGGCATGAGCACTTTAAAACGTCATACGACCCACCCGTTGTAGAACCCTTCTATGACCCTCCTCGATCCCTTCTGATGGAACAGTTAATATAGGAGCCTTATAATTAGAATAAGGTTTGAGGCCTACTATACTATAGTTATAATAAGGAACCCCCAAAAATATTATAGGTAACTATTAGAAGGCCCCTACAGTAAGCCCCTCTAGAAACTCCACAGAACCGTTCTGGAATCCTTTTAGGAAGCCAGTTTATATGAGGAGTTTCTGCCCCGCTGCCGATAACAGCTCCATCTCCTCTTCCAGGAGGACATGCCTCCTGAACTGGACCCCTGGCTGCTGCTGTTGTTATTACGTAATGGTTTGTTGGTGAGTTCATAGGGATCTTTAGGTTTGTATAAGGCCTTGACCGGTTTTCCAGGTGTTTCTAGGGGGTTTAGAATGGAAGGCTTCTGTGGCGGTGTTGGCAGGTTTCTACATCATGGCTAAGGGTCCCCGGAGGATTCTTCAGATTGGGGGTATGAGTTGGTGCTAGGCCGAAAAGGATAAACGGTTCAGCGTTAGGGACTGCAGTGAGGTTGAATTTCAGCAGCGGACGGGCGCTGAAAATGCTTCATGCCCTGGAGATGTGTCAAGTGCACTGTATCACTTTTTTGTGAACTCCCATCAACCCGTTGATCAGTGTTTGTGGCTCCGTATCAGGGTTCCTTCTAAAAGGATTCCTGTTTAAGCTATATGTCTTCAAATATCTTTTTCATGGCTCCTCACTGACTGTCTGCTGGGCTAGGGTTCTTCATCAAGGATTGTTACTAACGCGTGGGTCCGGTTCAGTTCGGTCTTCGAGTTGGGTAGTTGTCAAAGTTATGGTCCCTTTTTGGATCCCTAATATATTACTGCACCTAATATTTAGGTGCCCCAAAAGGGACCATAATTTTGACAACCACCTACTGGTTGTTTACCTTATGGACTTGGAAGCCGAACGCAGACTTGCTGGAAGCTTGCACTTGGAGGTCCACAAGGCATCTCGTCAGGGCTTGGCTGTAAACCACATGCTCACCCACGTGCATGCGTGAATCGGCGTGTGTGTATATGTATATACACACATATATATATATATATATATATATGTATGTCTGTCTGTCTGTCTGTCTGTCTGTCTGTCTGTCTGTCTGTCTGTCTGTCTGTCTGTCTGTCTGTCTGTCTGTCTGTCTGTCTGTCTGTCTGTCTGTCTGTCTGTCTGTCTGTCTGTCTGTCTGTCTGTCTGTCTGTCTGTCTGTCTGTCTGTCTGTCTGTCTGTCTGTCCGCATGTGTGCTTCGGGTCTTAGTGGTATCCGAGTTTGAGGCAGCGGGGCTTAGTTGCTGGAGAATAAGGGTTTAGGGTCGAAAGGGTTACGTCTAGGGTTTCCGCAGGTGTTTCGTAGGGTTTGCAAGTGATTCCACACTTGGTGCCACGTACACAACATGCACAGGTGACAGTTGGCACATGTCACAGCTTTGTGGATCGAGTGCCTGGGGACTTTGAGGAAAAAGGATAGCGCCGCTTGTGCCGCGCCATAATCGAATCTTCGAGTCCGCTGTTAGTCACGATCTGCATTATCCTGAGTACCGAACGCTACTACCAGCTGCCAGCTCTTGCATGGTAGCGGAGCCCGGCTATCAGCTTGAGCCGGGTTCGTGATCCAGGGGCCTAGTTTGACACGCTCCTTTCTGCAAGGCCGAAGGGAGAACCGAGAGGTGGCAGCGGCGACAAGTGTCGCCAAGAGCAAGGAGGGAGTGCCATGTTGGGATGGTACCCCCGCCAGTTTTGAAGAGTACTCAGAACAGGTCATGATCTATGAGCAAAGCACCCCCTTCCACAAGCGATACCTGGTGGGGCCAAGGCTGTTGGGCGAACTACAGGGTGCCGCGAAGCGGCACGTTGCCGGGCAGCCAGCAACCTGGCTCTCCAACGACCAAGGCGTGGAGACGCTCCTTCGGCACCTACGGGCATGCTTAGGCAAGCCCCAAATCCCCGAGTTGACCGAGTACCTGAACCGTTACTTCCGTCAGGGACGCCGAAAGCAGAATGAATCGATGAACGAGTACATCGCCAGGAAGTGTGAGCTATACCTCCGGGCATGCCAGGCCATGGCTCGAGTAGCTCCACACCACCAGGTAAGCATCAAGGATGAGGCGAAGACCAGTGGAACAGGAGGGAGCGCCGCAGGACAATGGTCGGCCGGTTGGCCGGAGAGGAGTCGCCGGAGCAGCTGGGACTCCCAGATGACCTACGATGATGGCGAGGAGAACACACCGGCACCGGTGCAGGCCGCTGCACCCATGCCAAACAGTACCAGTGCGACTACAGAGACTCCCGCCAGCGAGGCAGGAACGCAGCCCACGACCGAGGACGCCAGGTCATGGGGCAGCGCACCATGGTGGCAGTCGCCTACTTGGTACTGGAGCGACTGGAGCAGCTATGGATATGGGCAGCAGAGTTGGTGGAGAGCCGAAGCAACGGCTCGCGAGGCCCGCCACGTCAAGCTGCTACCTGAGCTATTACCAGAGTTCGTACAGGGATGGTATCTTCTGCAGGATGCTGGTCTGAGTGCCAGCGAGAAGAACCTAGTGATGACCGCCATCAGGAACGATTTTTCCGTACAGCGAGTGGCGCAGGAGCTGAGGACACAGTTTCTGGACATCGAACATCGCCGACATGATGGAGCAGGCAAGCACGCCGGCTACTGGGGCGAAGACATGGACGAGGAAGAGACGGAGAACCCCAACACCGAGGACGGCTTCAGCGTCGAGGACCTAGATGAGGAGGACCAGGTGCTCTGGGCGGAAGCCGAGGCTGAGGCGCAACAGGCTTGGGCCGTTGTCCAAACAGCCCGGCGCACGCTCAAGGACGCACGAGCGCGGCAAAATGCCGTGAAGCTGTCGCGAAAGTACTACAAGCCCAATGGTGGCGGCGGTAAAGGAGGTGGTGCCCCACGGTTTCGTGAAGATCTTCAGTGCCTCAAGTGCGGCCGGAAGGGCCACCGTACCCAGGACTGCCGTTCAGGGGGAGCTTCCAGCAGTACCTCAGGAACCACTACACAGTCAGCGCCCTTCGTGTGCTACTCCTATGAGGAGCAAGCGCTCAGTGCACAGACGCCAGACGAGGAAGCGTGGTGGAGCACCAAGGAAGCCGTGCGAGAAGGATATGCAGTGGTCGATGGCGGGGCCACCCGCACCCTGGGGAGCGTGGAAGCAATTCACCGGGTCATGGAGCTCAACTCCCGCAAGCACGGGAGCAACAGGGTGATCTGGGTGAACACCGAGAACAGGCCAACATTTGGCTTCGGCAATGCAACAGAGGACCAGTGCGCCAGCACCGTGGAGATGGGCATCACCGCAGGAAATCGCCCAGGACAGTTGACCATCCACGCACTGGACCGCGGCGAGACACCAATCCTTCTCTCAGTGTCTACGCTGAGGTCGCTCAAGGCAATCATCGATTTTGAGCAAGACCTGGTTTGCTTCAGAGCCATCGACCCCCAGAAGATTCTCAAGCTGGAGCGCTCGAACACAGGCCACCAATTGATATCCTTAACCGACGACTTGTTCGAGAAGGCCAAGCGCACTCGCGATCCTGTACCCAGCCTGCGAGAATTTGTACAGAATGCCGCAGAGTAGGGACAGCTCACTTCTGACTGTAAGCCTGGCAGGAAAGAAGTGTCAGAGTTGTTTTCAGGCACGGAAGGCGCTGCCGCACAGCGCCGCATTGCACAGCAGAACAGCATTTCCGATTGCAGTACTGAAGCTAGACAAGATGCGTTAGTTTTAGGTGATGATGGTGATGGTTGTAGTTTTGATGACAAAGGAACAGAAGCCTCAACAAGCCGCGAGATCTCAAAGTGCGAAGATAGTACGAGTTGTGCACCTCCTGATCTCCTACCAGAGTTCCCGTGCGACCATGGCTCTCAGCAAGTTGCGCAAAGCCGAGTTGAAGGCCAAGTTGCAGGAGCTGGGCGAAGAGACGCCCGCCAAGTGGACCAACAAGGAGATCATCATGCGGATCTTGGAGTTAGACCCCCAGGCCGACCAGAACACGCGCAGCAAGCGAACGGACTTGCAGGAGCGCATCAAGGCCTTGGGAGCTGCCGCCAAGAAGAAGGACTCCCTTCAGGAGTTCTGCCACGAGATCGGGGTGAACGTCCAGGTGAACCACACAAAGCATACCCTGGAGCAGCACGCCCTAAGAAAGTTGTACGATTTGGCAACACCTGCTGCCGAGGACATTGTGGGCTTTGGCAGACACAGCACGGAGACCTACGAGGAGATCCGCACTCGGAGGACCCAGTACGCACAGTGGGTGATGCAGACCGCACGCGAGACAGAGGAGACGGACTACCGGCTCCGCCGCCTGGCCAATTGGCTGGAGTCACAGGAGCAAGCCGAGAAGGAGATGATCCGAGTAATCGAACCCAAGAAGAACATGCGAGGATACCCAAAGTCGTCCGCTCCATCGCTGGAGTCTACGGCACGGTCGTCCATCGACCCGAACACCGCGATCCTCCAGAACATGATGGAGACCATACAGAACCTGCAGCAAGAGGTGCAGGAGATGCGAGCAGAACGCCCGCGAAAGGAAGTGCGGGCACCGAAGTCGGAGATCTCGGACGACTCATACCAGGTGGTGAAAACGCCGAACGAGCAGAGTCCGCCGTGAGGGAGGCAGCCTCGGATGCAGATATAAGTAGGGACCGCCTAGATGATTCGTCTGCTGAGGAACCCAGCGCCTACCTTAGTAAAGAAACTGCGTCGTTGGTTGAGCATCAGGCCTGGACCCTAGTGCCACAGATGTTTCAGGAGGTGGTGACTCAGATGCGACCCTACCTTTTTGAAGTAACCAGCTCACCGGAGAGTCAGCTGGCACAGCATGTGCGAGAGGTTGTCGGAAGACCCGGTGCCGCTCTTAGCAGTGCCGAGTGTACCGGCAGCGATCTGAGTACGAACGAGGGGATCCGTGGTTTTCTGGAAAAATTGAACCAGATGCGTCCGCTGCATGTGTGGATACAGCCCCCAGTTCAGGGATTTAGTCCATGGCAAAAAGCTAACAAGCAGGCGACTGATAGTGAGTTGGAAAGTAAGAAGCAGCATGCCACGAGGTACTTGATAGGTTGCAGTGTTGTGGTCGCGGTGTGTATTCAGCGTGGAATCCATGTGTCTCTCTTGATGTCCGAGCATAGCAACGCATGGAGGTTACCCGTAATGCAGAAGATGATCAAGCAGCACTCACTAAGGACCTGCGTCACTAAGGGATGCCGCATGAACCAAAGAGGGACCGATAATCGGCTGATCAGGCGCGGCTGGAAGGTGTGTACGACGCACAGCCGCCTCTACGATGTGCTGCACGCCCCCTGCGTGTGTGCCAAGGGCTATGAGCATTCACAGAGCGAGGACAGGACCACTCCAGAGAGTGGTCACTTAACCGAGGAGTTCGTCAAGAGAATAGGACAAGTCATGGTGCAGGAACACAACCATGTGAGTCTTCTGAGGGAGCTTCAGGGACAAAATGAGTTGCCAGAGGCGTTTGGCGCAGGACTTCGGTGTGTGTGCGAGGACCAGAGGAATTGCGCAGGTCAGGAACAGGTGATGTGTGGGATGTGTTTGACAGGACCCCAAGTTCAGGCAGGTGAAGGGTTGGAGTCTGCGGAAAAGTTAGAAGAGGTTTCAGGGTTGAGCCCCGAAGACCCAAGGTACCAAACAGGACCCGAGAACCACGAAGCATGGGACTCCCCCGACAACCAGACCGGAGAAGAAGAGGTCCTCTACAGCCAAGAGGAGCTAGCGCACGCAGAGTCCATCGCCGAACAACTGCTACAGGCCCAGAGGTTCCAGCCAAAGGACTGCAAAGAAGTGATAGAGGCCCTGCCAGAGCAGGCCCAAGGACCCCAGGACCCCCAGAAGAAAAAGGGTTATTTCACGTTCGGCTTGTATGCACATGGTGCTTTCCATGGAGTGACCAAGCTTACCACGGACCTTCCGAACTGTCAACGGTATTTCCAGAAGTACTTGCAAGGTATATTACCCGAGGGTCAGAAGTATACGTCGTTTGTGATTTCTAGAAATATGCATATGCCTCTGCACAGGGATTGCCACAACGACAATCAATACGAAAACTGCGTCCATGGAGTAGGTTCCTACACAGGAGGCCAGCTCTGGGTGGAACGCATGGGAACAGAACCAATCAGAAAGCCCGTATCCAAGGTACTGCCAGATGGAAGCGAACGAGAGGGCGAGATCTATGCGACCAAGGGCCAGGTGGTACGATTCAACCCCAAGGCCTGGCATGGGACCGAGGTCTGGAGTGGTGAGAGATACGTGGTATCATGCTACGTAAGTCGGAGTCATCAGCTGCTGAGCCCCGCGTGTAGACAACAGTTGTGTCAGCTTGGGTTTCAGGTGCCAGGTCCCGATAAGAGGCAGGCTTGGACCGTGAACGATAGGCCGTTGACTAAGCAAGAGAAAGAGCGTGTGCAGAAGCAGTTGTACATGTTGCATGCTGCGACGGGACATGGGAGTGTGAAGCACCTGTGTGAAGCCCTTCGACGCCGAGGAACTCACCCGGAAGTCCTTAAGATGGCTAGCGAGTTTCAGTGCTCAGTGTGTAACGAGCGACGACGAGTTCAACCCCGACACCTTGCGTCCCTTGAACCACTTCCCCCAAAGTGGCACTGCGTGAGTGCCGATATTGGACACTACTACAATCAACACAAGAAGGAACATGCGCAGTTTATGGTTCTAGTGGATGAAGGCTCCCGCTTCAAAGCGGCTCGCGTGCTTACTTCAGGCTCGAAGCAACAGCCCACAGCCGCCGCATGCCTAGAGTATTTGAGGGACGGATGGATGTCCTACTTTGGAGCCCCCAGGACCTTAAGACTGGACCCAGCTGGAGCATTCAGGGGACAAGCTGTCGAGGAATTCTGCGATCGACACCAAATATTTTTAGACATAATACCAGGCGAGGCGCACTGGAAAGTGAGTGTGGTGGAGCAGGCCATTCAAGGAGTCAAGGAGCTAATGCAGAAGCTTCTGAGCGATGAGCCGGATCTGGATACCCGGGAGGCTTTAGCCGTAGCCATAAGGACCTTCAACCAGAGAGAAGTCATCAGAGGTTTTTCACCAGCCCAACATGCTTTAGGACAAAGCGCGGATGCTACAGGACGACTGGACTTTTCTGGCAAGGCACCACCACCCGAGCTACTGGTCGAGAATCCCACTGGGGAGTTTCATCGAAACGTGGAAAGACAGAAGACCGCTGAGGTAGCTTTGGTGGAGTGGCAAGCCAAGCAAAGGTTGGCTCGCGCCACACATTCCCGAGGAAGACGCGTGTTGGACTTTCAACCCGGCGAGCTGGTGTTCTTCTGGAGGTCCCAAGTGAGCGGGAAATCCCGCCGAGAACCAGGAGACCGACATGGCATGTTCTTGGGACCGGCTCGTATCTTGGCCACAGAAACCAAGAAGGACGATGATGGCTTGCTACGGCCATCATCCTCAGTGTGGCTCGTACGTGGCAGGAGCCTCATCAAATGCGCAGCCGAACAAGTGCGCAGAGCTTCCGCACGGGAAGAACTAGTGGAGAGTCTGAGCCAAGTGGAACCAGTTCCCTGGACATACACACGTGTAGCCGAAGAGATTGGAGGTAACAGATACCAAGACATGACAGAGACTGTACCCGAAAGTGAGTGGTTGCGTGCACAGGATGCGGAACGAGAAGAACAGCCAGCCCGACACAGGATTCGCCAGAAGCGACCCCTGAGTGAGACGGCCGAGGAGAGCAGCTATGGGCGAGTGCCCCCACGCACGGGGGAACCGAGTTCTAGCAGTCGCTCAGGACCCTACAGCCGTGCAGCCACGGAGCAAGGGGAGTTATGGTGGAACCAAGTCAATGAGGCGCTCTGGTGTGAAGAAAGTGACCACTGGCAGCATGAGAGTGCCGCCGTGGAGATCGCTTTGACTATGCCGGAGACTCACCGAGGCTGGGATCTGGCATGCCGTGATTTATCAGCTTATTTCTTGAGTAACATTAAGAAGCGAGCAGTGGAAGTCAGCGAGAAGCGCCTCACACCAGAGGAGCGCGCGCTATTTGATGGCGCCAAGGCGGTAGAGATTAAGAACTTCGTGGCAGCCAAAGCATTCGAAACCCTGCCGCCAGAGTTACGGCCGTCAAAGGCGCAGGCCGTCGGCATGCGTTGGATCCTGACTTGGAAGCAAAAGGACGACGGCTCGGTCAAGCCGAAGGCCAGAGCGGTCTTATTGGGGTATCAAGACCCGGCTTATGAACACCGGTCTACGACATCGCCGGTCATGACGAGGCAGACGCGACAATTTATCTTGTCCCTGGCTGCCACAAAGAAGTGGCGCATCGCGAAGGGCGACGTCTCAGGAGCATTTCTCCAGGGACGCGAGTATCCGGACAAGTTGTACTGCATCCCTTGTCCCGAGATCTGTGCTGCACTAGGGGTTCCCCCGGAGACTATCACGAGACTCCGGAGAGCATGCTACGGACTGGTAGACGCACCATTGGAGTGGTACAAGACGGTAGACGAGTTTTTAACCAGCTTGAATCTTGAGAGGACCTGGTCAGATGCATGCTGTTGGGTGCTACGCGAACAAGGACACCTGGTAGGAGTCATTTCTGGACATGTCGATGATTTTCTCTTTGCGGGAGATGAAAAGAATGCTCGGTGGCAGCAAGTGCTCAAGGCCATTCAACAGAGATTTCAGTGGGGTGACTGGGATTACGATAACTTCGTTCAATGTGGGGTTTGTGTCAAGCGCACAACCAACGGCTTCGAGCTCTCACAGGAGCGCTACGTTGACTCGATTAGAGAGATACCCGTGAACGCGGCCCGAAAGAAACAAGAAAATCAATGTACTACTGAGCGAGAGAAAAGCCAACTAAGGGCTTTGCTGGGTGCCATTTCCTGGCACGCTCAACAGGTGGCTCCCCACCTGAGCGCTGAGGTCTCGCTGCTCTTGTCCGAGGTCAGCCAAAGTACGGTGGCGACGATTACTAAGGCCAATGGCTGTCTGCGACGGGCGAGGGCCCAAAAGGGCCACGCAATGCAGATTCACGCATTTGCAGAGACTGAGGAGTTAGGACTGTTTGGATGGGTTGATGCGGGCAATCAGAACCGAGTAGATGGCTACAGTACCCAAGGAATTTTCGTGGGGTTGGCGCCTACGAGCTTGTTGAAAGGCGACTTGTGTCAGGTCACTCCCGTGACTTGGCACTCAAATCGTATAGACCGGGCATGCCGGTCACCCGGGGCCGCCGAGGCCCATGCAGCTATCAACGGCGAAGACGCTCTGTTCTTCGCCCGATACCAGTGGCATGAGTTGCTTCATGGAGCTAAGGACCTGAGAGCCCCCGAGCAGGATGTGAAAAACATCGTGGGGTGCTTGATTACGGACAGCAGGAACGTTTACGACAAACTTGAGACAGCCGTCCTCAGCATCAAGGGGGCAGAGAAGCGGACGCACATCGAGATGATCGCGTTAAAGGAAAGCCAGCTACAGACTGGACTCATCATGCGATGGGTACACTCAGAAGCTCAACTGGCAAACACTTTGACAAAAAGTCACAACTGCAAGGAGATGGACTTGTATTATCACATGGGTCATTCATGGAAGATCGTGGAAGACCCAGCGATGAGATCAGCGCGCAAACGCAGAGCTGATGGTGATGAACCTTTGTCATCTAAAGAGGGATTGAGCAGAAACAATCGGAAATGCTGTTAGGGTAGAGTAGGTGGGATGCAAGTGATTCCACACTTGGTGCCACGTACACAACATGCACAGGTGACAGTTGGCACATGTCACAGCTTTGTGGATCGAGTGCCTGGGGACTTTGAGGAAAAAGGATAGCGCCGCTTGTGCCGCGCCATAATCGAATCTTCGAGTCCGCTGTTAGTCACGATCTGCATTATCCTGAGTACCGAACGCTACTACCAGCTGCCAGCTCTTGCAGGGTTTAGGGGCTTCGTTCGTTATTGGTTAAACCCAAAGCCTTGAACATCAAGCCTGTGGGATTCAGGGTTTGGGGTTCAGGGAGGCCCCAAAACATGTGGGTAGTTCTCGAACTTTCCTGTTTAGGTCCCGAAAATAGTACAGCACCCTGACAAACAGGACCCTACAAGGGACCCTGAATCTAAACCCTCAAAGGGACACTACCTAATTTCGCAAAATACCCATGCGCAACGTTTGCAGGCCTTCAGACAAGCTCTCGGTGATCCGGAGGAGGTCGTGCAACACATCTGGGCGGGTTTAAGGTTCAGGGTTTAGTGCCTGAAGGTTTGGGTTTCAAGGCTTGGGGTCCCTAAAACCCTAAACCCTAGAACCCTAAAACCCTAAAGCCCTAAACCCTAAAACCCTAAAGCCCTAAAGCCCTAAAACCCTAAAACCCTAAAACCCTAAAACCCTAAAACCCTAAAAGGTTGGGGGTTGGGGGGTTGGGGCTTAGGGCTTAGGGTTTGGGTTCAAGGGAATCCCGAACAATGTATTTACGTGACCTCCATTCCGTTATAGAATGTATCCTGAATTTCGCCTACTGTCGTCGTGCCACCGTTTGAGGCCTTTGACAAAAATTTTTGTTTCAACCCTAAACCCTAAATGCTAAACCCCAAACCCTAAATCCTAAACCCTAAATCCTAAACCCTAAACCTTAAATGCCCCCTGCCACCAGAAAATAAGACTCTACATGAGGGTTTGCCGACCGCGCTGCTGACCGTAAAGAACCCTAGTTAATCCTACATAACCTTAACCCCATAGGCCACTACCAGCCCCCATTGTAGCCCTGTAGAACCCTGTCAAGCCCTCTACGTCCTATCACTGTTGAACGTGTGTGGAAGTCTAAATGGGTCCCTGAACATGCACCGAGTTGGGGCTCCGTAGGGTTTAGGGTTTCAGGGTTTAAGGTTTAGGGTTTCAGGGTTTCGGGTTAAGGGTTTAGGGTCCCGGGTTTCAGACACATGGCCGCAACGCAAACGGTTCACGGCATCGGCAGCCCACACTGCCCGCGCGAAGCGCGTTCATGGCTTGAAAAACTCGCAGTGCCTTCATCTTCACGGCTGCACCACCGCCCTGACTCGATTAATGAGGGAACCAAACAACAAACCGGACGATAGCAGCGGTCGATTCAGGTAGCGGCGCGATGGCGGGGCTGCTTCTTCTTTGCCTGCCGCAAAACCCATCTCACTCTGCGGCGTCTGCCTGGTGCAACCTTTGCTCGTTCACATGCCTTCCAGGTCTGCCGATGTAAGGCCTAGTCGCCATTCCCCAGTCAGCAAAGCAAAGGCAATCGTATGAGGAGCTACAGGGATAGCCGCAACGACGAGCCCGCGACTCGACTGTGTGAGCATACCTTGGTTCCGGCGTCCTGATTGCAACCACACCTGCATCCGCAGCCCTAGGTTCCTACTCGGGTCCGCACAGGTTCGAGTGGGTAAGCTGGACCAACCTCGTATGAAAACCATGAGGATACAACGCTCCATCCCAGGCTAGGTGCTGTTCGAGACATCAGAACGAGTCCCAGACTGGCGATTCGGAATCCTCGATGTAACTGCACATGCCACTGCATCCCTAAATACCTCCTTGGGGTCCGCACAGGCGCAAGCACAGGGTTTTTCACGACCTCGTTCCGTGCAGATTTAATGTTCGTGGCATTACGACCGCCTACCCTATGCTTGGTGTTGTACCGGAGCCTCCTGTATACCACGAGCCTTCGGTCTACTGGGGTCCGCACAAATGCGAGGGCGTGCTCTGGACCAACCTCGTATAAGAACTATGAGGATGCATCACTCCACCCCAAGCTAGGTGCTGCACGAAACATGAGAACGAGTCCCAGACTGGCGATTCGGAGTCCTCGATGGAACTGCACATGCCACTGCATCCCTACATACCTGCTTGGGATCCGCACAGGCACAAGCACAGGGCCTGTCTCGACCTCGTTCCGTGCAGATTTAATTTCCGTGACTGCACGACCGCCTTCACTGTGCTTGGTGCTGTACTGGCGCCTCCTGGAAGCCATGAGCCTTCGGCAAACTGGGGTCCGCACAGATGCAGTTGCATGATCTGGTCCAACCTCGTATGAGAACCATCAGGATACAACGCTCCATCCCAAGCCAGGTACTGCACGAAACATGAGAACGAGTCCCAGACTGGCGGTTCGGAGTCCTCGATGTAACGGCACATGCCACTGCATCCTTAAGTGCGTACTTGAGGTCCGCACAGGCGCAGGTACAGGGTCGGTCACCCTATGCTTGGTGCTGTACCCGGGCCTCCTGGAAGCCACGAGCCTTCGGTGCCACCTGCCCCGAGACGAGCCCCACCATGCGAGATGAGGGCGAGGGATCGACTATGATATCACGCTCAGTATCTTTCACCCTCCCTCGGGCACTCACTCATGCACCTGCTCACTCACAAACTCACTCATTCACACCCTCACTCACCTATCCCAACTCTTCTTTCCTTGCTGCTCCGTGCGCAGCTTCAGCCGTCGCTGCCTCGGGGTCGCCCACAGCAGCACGACGAGAGGGAGGGTCCTGGCATTAGCAAACAGGTTCCGTTTTCTGTAGCTGTTGGCCGGTCATGTTCCAGGTTCAGGTTCATGACGGGTATGTTTCTGCACTCACCTGCCTCGCATTTGCACTTATTGCGAGTCATGCACTCATTCTTCTCTCAGTTAGAATATCTCCATTCAGAAAAGGAATGTCGCATGGACCACAAACCGGAGCAGCTGAACATGCTTGGCGGAGTCAACGCCTCCCAATGTGGATTGGCGGCCACCTCGGGACACTCGACTCGTTTAGCAACCGCCGCCCCCGGAGACAGAGCCCCCCCCCCCGGTCGAGAGAATTTCTGAATCGATAAGGTCACGGCCCACTTTTGATGTAGGGATGTTATCTCCTGCACACACGCCAGGTTTAGGGTGTAGGGGTTTGGGGGTTTGGGGTTTAGGGGTTCAGGGTTTCGCCCTAAGGTCGTAACGCTAAACTCCTTGCACCCGGAAGCCCTTCAAACTGAGGCCTGCACCCCTAACCCGACACCCCAAAGCCCTGCACTCTAAGCTTGCTGGGCTCTTGCTTTGATTTAAGCTGCCATGACGAAATATTGCTGTTCGATACCATAAATCCCTCTACTAACTACCTGAACCGGAGACTCCGCTAAACCCTAAACCCGAAACCCCTAGCACTTAAATCGCAAACCCTAAACCCTAGACTCGTAAATCCTATGCCCTCACCTTAACACCCACACCCTAAACCCCTAAACCCCCAAACCCGTAAACCCTTAAACTCCTAAACCCCTCAACCCCCAAACCCTTAAACCCCTAAACCCCTAAACCCCCAAACCCCTAAACTCCTAAACCCCTAAACCCCTCCCTCAACCCCTAAACCCCCAAAGAACAGCACAGCAGTTCGGCCTCGCAGTCGCCTGCGCTCGCTCGATTCGGCCTCAAGACCTGGCATCTGAGGTTTGCAGGGCATACTTAAAGGATCATGGGACTTAGTAATTGGGGTTCTTATCAGGTTAGTTAATGGGTTCTGTAAGAGATCTGTAGGGTTTTAGGTTTAAGGACCATGGGACTTAGTAAGTAAGGCTCTAAGGGGTCCCGCTAAGGGATCTATAGGGGTACTATATTACAGTATAACTATACAAGGGCTATTAGGGATGACAGTCTCTTCCTTGGGGTTCGTACTGTAACTACACTGTATTATACCCTGTATTGAGTCCGGTTTCGGGTCTTGAGCGTATCGGCTTTGTACTCCATGACTCCGCTCTCGAAACACCTGATCTGGGGACGATGATCCGGGCGTGCCAAGCTTTTCTTCGAATTCTGATCCGGCAGTACTCTGCACAACAGTGGTTTCTTTGCATGGATCTCACTAACCTCATGATAGTTTATAGGTTTTTCTCAGTCTTTCACAGGACGTTCAAAGCCCTGCGCTGTTGCTGGCGTGTGCAGGAGTTTGTTGCGCACACTGGCGTGGTCGTAAACCCTAAACTCACAGAAACTAAATCCCTGTGCGCTACCGCCACATGAATTCAAGCTGAAACCCGCTGAAAACTCCTTTGCAAACCTCTAAGACATTCTTGGTCATACTTGCAGAGCCGCAACCTAGAACTTCTCAATTTGGTGGCATTGCCCTAACTTTATAGACCCTTTAACCCGTAGCCCTGAACCCAGCAGAACCGATAAAAACCTAGCAGAACCGATAAAAACTGGTGAACCACGAGAGCACGGGGAACTTTTTTGTTGCTGTGGTGTCGGGCCTCAAGATGCTATGGTTTGGGGCTTCAGGGCTTTCGGGGTTCAGGCCTTAGGGTTTAGGGTTTAGGGTTTAGGGTTTAGGGTTTAGGGTTTAGGGTTTGGGGTTTAGGGTTTACGGTTTAGGGTTTAGGGTTTAGGGTTTAGGGCTTTCGGGGTTCAGGGTTTAGGGTTTAGGGTTTAGGGTTTAGGGTTTAGGGTTTAGGGTTTAGGGTTTAGGGTTTAGGGTTTAGGGCTTTCGGGGTTCAGGGTTTAGGGTTTAGGGTTTAGGGTTTAGGGTTTAGGGTTTAGGGTTTGCATGTGGGCGCGATCATCAAACCACAGTAGCGGTAACCAAATCAGGTCAAGACTACATCTAGACAATGCTGTTGGAACGTGTAATGGCAGTTGGCAACAGGCAAAGGATCAACAAAGGCAACGAGCAGCAACACCGATGGCGACCATACGTGACGACAACAAGAACAACCATCAAACTACAAATACCAAATTTCACTATGCATACTATACTATACATACTGTACGATAACCTATAATCTCTCATACTACATAGACGATACTAGACTAGACTATACGGTACTACAAACTACTAAAACCTAACATTACATAATCTAAGTCAAGGTCTGAAAAAAAACAACAGCACAGCACTCCTTGATCCTCAACGCAAGGAAACTTTCACCCCTGAACCCATTAACCCAACCCCCTACATAACCCCCGCTTTGTAAGCCCTGTACCCTTGCAGAACCCCAAAAGATTAAAGGAACAATTGAAGGAACCACTAATCGTTCGTGCGGCCTTTCTTCAAGTCGTCGGAGAGCGCAGAGTGCGCGATGGAGGCACCTCGCAGCTTGACGACCTCCTGGTGCAGGGATCATGTAGGATTTGAGGCTGTAAGGTTTAGGGATTGTTGTTGAGGGCTTTCAGTAAGGGTTCTCGAGGGTTTAAGACTTACACGGTGTAGGATATAGTACCAATTTACGATTTGGGGTTTAGGGTTCAGGATTTGGTGTTTGGCTTCAACTGTTCAAGGCTGTTGGTTGAAAGGGAGGTTTGTGCTCAGGGTTCAAGGTTTTGGGTTCAAGAGCTGGTTTGGCTTTATGGTTCATTCTGCGCGTTGGACTTGGGATTTGCTGTTGGTTTGGGGTTTAGGAGCCTGGGGTTCTGGGTGAAGCTTTGGGGCTAAAGCCCATAACCCAAACCCCCTGAACCCCCCGAAGCGTAGGGGCCTTAATAATTAGAATAGGGTTTTAGGGCCCATTATACTATCATTATAATAAGGAGACCTCAAAATAGTAAACCCAAACCCTCAACCCGTAAACCCCTTGCGATTCAGCATCGCTGGTTCTTTTCTGCGTTGTGGGTCTTCCCAAAATGGTCTCCAAATACGGGACATAACAGGAAGAAGGGTGCGGAGGTGTTTTATAGTACAGCCTTCATAAGGTCTAAAACGGAATAGTTCTAATTTTTCCGATGTCTAGGCCCGTGGGTTAGGGGTTTAGAACTTTAGTGTCCCCTTTAAGGTCCCAAAATAGTGCGCCACCCTTAACAAGGGATCTCAATTCAGAGAGCTGCCCATTAGAAGTTTAAAACCCTCCAAATAGTATAGGTAATTATGAAGGCCCCTACAGTAAACCCCTAGAATACCCCTTGGACTCATCCTTATAGACCCCTTTGAAAGGAACCCTTAAAGAAACCCTAAGGTAATTGACAAGGTTTACTTGGAGGATCACGTCACTTAATAAGTAGGGTTATGAGTACCTTAATTGGGGCTATAAGCAATTATAAGTGTAGCTATCTTACTTATAACCCCAACTACTAGGTCCCACGATCCTTGAACCCTAAACCCTGATAGTGCCCTTATAGATCCCTTTTAAAAGGGACCCCCATTAAAGCCTTACTCACTAAGTCCCATGATCCTCCAAGTAAGGTAAACTCCGACCTCCTGCAAAGACGCCAGGCGCTTCTCCATGGCTTGGATCTGGCGCGCCTGGCGCTTTGGGTTTTAGGGTTTAGGGGTTTTAAAGGTTTAAGGGTTTCAGGTTTTAAGGTGTAAGGGTTTAAGGGATTAAGGGCTTGGGGTTTAGGGTCTGAGGGTCTGGTTTTGGGTTTAGGGCTTAAGGGTTTGGGATTTACTGTTTTAGGGTTTAGGGTTTAGGGAACAACCGACGTCACCCTGTTTCAAAGTTTAGGGTTTACTTAAGGGCTCGTGGCACTAAATTAGTAAGTAAGGTTATAAGTTACAAAGTGTGAATTAGGATAACCCTACTCAGGGCACTTATAGCCGCAATCACAACCTGAGCATAGACAGGGTTTTGGCTTAGGGTTTCGGGCTGGATGGATCTGCTCAGCAGACATCTGATTTCCCAGAATCCAGAATCCCTACACTAACCCCTCCACGCAGAACCATGCTCCCAGCCGCAACCCGAAACCCGACACCTTCTAAGCTAAAGTAGAGGGGCGACCTCTTCAGTTCATGTGTTTAATATTTGGGGGGGTTTGCTGGCTTAGGGTTGGGCTCTAGGGGTTCTGATCTGGGATCCTTGGCCAGCGTACTTGCCAATGCATCTGCATATTGCCCCTGCTACGCCTGCGCGTTGAACTTGTCCAGGAGGCTCACCGGCGCAGATGAAGCCTGACTACTTAAATCATCATGGGACTTAGTAAGTGAGGTTATAAGTAAGGTAACTGCAGTTATAATGACTTATAGCCCCAATTAAGGTACTTGTAACCATACTTACTAAGTCCCATGATCCTCCAAGTAGGGGCCGGGAGAACATGATCCTCGAAACGAGCAAAGCCTGCTATGTCTTGCCATCTGTCTTAAGCCGAAATCCTACCCCTCGAACTCTGAAGGGTCCTAGTCTTACATACGGTATATTTCAATTTATTGTAACTGCCATATTAATATTCAAGTTAATATTCATACTAACATCCATATCAATATTTGTATTACTATTATGGGGTGCGGGTCTTGCAGACGCTAGGGTTGAGGGGCGAGCCCATACATCGGAATGCTGATGCTGTACGATGATGTTGTTGTGGTTTCAGCTTTTCGACCGTGGCTATACCTAAGAGCAGTCTTAATCCGAACAACGAAACAACAACAGCTATAATGGTAAGTCCATTGAACCCAGAACCTCTTAAAGGGACCCCCTATTCGTGTCCCTTGTAGAAACCCTACACAGGAACCCTTGAACGAGCCGTCCCTTTAAAGGAACCCATAAAAGGGAGAAACAGCAGCAAATCGCGTGTAACGGGGCTATTGCATGGCAGGACATGGAGCAAGTCCTTCAAAAGGGACGAGGGGTTAGGGTTTGGGGGTTTAGGGATTCATTGGGGTTTAGGGTAGGTGTTTTCGGTCGAATGGGGCCAGAGCACTTGAGGGAAAACGGAAAACACGCACAATCACCTCGAGGTCTCTACCTTAATGCTGCCAACATGGGCTTCAGGTTAAAGGCTTCAGGTTGAAGCTTTAGGGCTCCTGAGCTTGAGGATTGGCATCAGGAATCCTGGCTCTCCAGGTGGCGCTCCGCCCTGCATCGTCGCTGGAGTTGCTAAGCCCTTCTGGGCGCTGCCTCCGCCTCTTCAGGGCCAACTGCCCTTGCCACCAGCCCAAGTGCCACCGCGATGGTCCATCCGCGCTCATCTTGAGTCTTATGCTCGCGATGAGCCGGTGGGCGGGGAGGCTCACGAGCATTGCCAACTACGCAGTCTGCTCGACATGAATATTAAGATTACAGATAATAATGGGAATTTATGTTCGGATGCATCTCGACCCAATTCGCGAGCCCACGATTGAGAGTTGTAAAGCTCAGCTCCTCCAATGCAGGCAGAATCGACTGTGGCAGTAGGCTTTCGGGAAATGGACTGTGAAGCTTTATTAGGGGCTTCTATGCGAATCCCAGCTTTTGGTCCACATTAGGGCTTAGGGTTTCGGGTTTAGGGGTTTAGGATTTGGGGTTTGGGGTTTAGGGTCTGGGATCCAGCTAAATTTGCTGTCTCGCTCATCGGAAGCAGAAGCTGGGAGCTGGAACGCTGCAGCTCAAACCATTAGCCAGACGCCTAAGCCCTAAATCCCTAATCCTTAAATCCCTAAACCCCTAAATCCCTAAACCCTTAACCCTACTAACCCTCAATCCAATCCCTAATCCTTAAACCCTCACTAAATCCCTAAACCCTAAACCCTACTAACCCTCAATCCCTAATCCTTAAACCCTAACTAATTCCCTAAACCCTTAACCCTACTAACCCTCAATCCCTAAACCTTAAACCCTAACTAAATCCCTAACACCTAAACCCTACTAACCCTCAATCCCTAATCCTTAAACTTAAACCCTAACTAAATCCCTAACACCTAAACCCTACTAACCCTCAATCCCTAATCCTTAAACCCTAACTAAATCCCTAAACCCTTAACCCTACTAACCCTCAATCCCTAATCCTTAAACCCTAACTAAATCCCTAACACCTAAACCCTACTAACCCTCAATCCCTAATCCTTAAACCCTAACTAAATCCCTAACACCTAAACCCTACTAACCCTCAAGCTCTGCACTGAGACCAGGGCCGCATGTCCGGTGGCAGAGGCAGCAGAAGCGAGCTCCCTGCGTGGCAGAGTTGGAGACCTGATCTTGGCGAAGAGGCCACGGTTTAGGGTTTAGGGTTTAGGGTTTAGGGTTTTGGGGCCCATTATACTTTTGTTGTGATAATAAGGAACCCCCAAAATAGTATAGGTATTTAGCTGTCAAACGGGGGACGGCGACGACGACGATGATGAGGAAGAGAACAAGCCGAACGAGCACTGGGACCAGGAAACAGCAGGTAAGGATGGCGCGACGACTGGGATGATGCTCATGCATCGCTGGAGACTGATGATGATGATGCTTCTGGTGGCGGCGGTGGCGGCGGCGGTGGTGGTGGTGGCAGCGATGAAGATGATGATGATTACTATTATGGTGATGATGGACAGGATGATAATGATGACGAGGAGGAGGAGGAGGAGGACACTGACAATGATGATGATGACGATGGTCGTACGAGTAGCATTCGTCTGATGTTGAGGGGGTGAAAGCAACAAGGACTAAGAAGTAGCAACGACAATAACACCCAGCGTTGGCCAATATCACGATAGTACGTGCTCAAAGTATCTTACTTTGGGCTTGAAGCTCCTCATCTTTTCCAAATGTCACGATACGTAGTACGTTCTCAAAGAATCTTACTCTGGGCTTGAAGCTCCGCATCTTTTCCAGATGTCTAGCAATCCCCTGCAACAAGGCCGAGGCGCTTGGCCCTGGCAACAAGAGGATCCAAGCCACTCCTGATAGTTTGGGCTTTGGCTTTGGAATCGCGGGTCTTAGGGCTAGGGCTGCTGGGGCGGAAGGCGAAACTCAAAGCCCTAAGCCCTTTCAGCTTGTGGTTTGCATTCTCATCCTGTCGGAGGGCTTTAGCAGGTCTTTCCACCATGGTGTGTGGGCTAGACCTCAGGATTTAGCCGTTCAGGCCAGAAGCACAAGAACTGCACACCTCAGCCTTCCAAGCCTTGCATGCAACAAGACTCCCACAGCACCCCGAAAGTTGCCAATCCACATGCAACGTCGCCTCAAAGCAGCAATGCCCTGAAGCCCGAAACCCTGCAAAGGAGCACCAAGGCCCTGAAACAGCAAGAAAAAATTAAAAGAATGGTAGCTACAAAAAACAGAAAAGAACATGATGCGGCGACAATAACCATGACATCAAGACTAGAATTGCTCATGTTGCAGAATTACAGATTATATCTATTGCGTCCACTACCAAAAATATGGCTACGGTTAGTATGGCTGCGGCACTACCAAAAACAACACTGTCTTCAGATCTATTACCGTTGATGCTGCTAATTGTCGTCTGGGTGGGGCTTTTAAAGAATTGAAAAATATTAGTAAATAAAACCCTCTCAAGCCCAATGAGGGAAAATAAAAAGTGTTCCAAAGCCCTAGCTAGTCGTATTTTTGTCGCAGTTGTCATTACTATGACTCTTCAAGCCGGGTGCTCTGCTGCGGACACCACAGGGAGCAACTCGTCCCCGAGGCTGAAGTCAGCTTCGGGGTCTTGGTAAGCAGAGTCCTTGGGCCAGGTTTAGGGTTTAGGGTTTAGGGCAGCGACTTCACACACCTTTTGGCCTCGCAGTTCAAGTCAAGCTTGACCAGCTACCGGTAGATTCATGAGGGGCCCATTATACTATGAGTATAACAAGGAACCCCCAAGAAATACTGTAGGTACTTAGGCCCCTTTATGATTCAGAATGGGCTCGTTAAGGCCCTACGTTTAGACTTCGCGGGTTAGGGCTCCAGGCTCCGTGGGTGTTGCGAGGACTCCTTGTGGTTTAGGGCTTTCAATGGGGTTCTACGATGTGTTGCACAGGGGCCGGACGCAAAAACAGCTTTGCCATGGGATTTATGCTTTTTGCTTACGAACCCCTTGGGCGTTCCTTTGTGGCGTTCTGGTTTTGAGCTTGTGGAGCTTTCGGGATCGAGCTTCTGCAGGAATTTTAGCCGGGTGCACCTCCTTAAAACAAGACAAGACCACTTCAGCCGAACCTTCGGCCTTTCAAATCCACAATTAGCTCTGTCAACTCCAAGCTTTGAGGTTTAGGGTTTAGCACCTAGGGTTTAGGGGTTTGGGGGTTCGGGCCCTTTCCACCCCGAAGGCCTGAACCTCAGCGCCCCAACCCCCAGCAAGAGCCTGAAACACGCTTCAGCAGGAATGACTAAACTCAGAAACCCTATAAATCACCTAAAACAAGGTTAGGGGGATTTAGGGTCTAGGGTTTAGGGTTTAAACCTGACCAAAACCTATGAAAACCCTCGAAGCTCTTGTAAAGACACCGTAAGGCACACTTTACTGGAACCCTCAAGCCTGAACCCTTAACCTGAACCCCTAAACGGCCCCAAACCTTAAAGCCCAACTCCCAAACCTCAACTCCAAACCCTGCACCCCTAAACCAAAACCTGAATCTTAAACCCTAAAACCCCTAAACCCCGAACCTTCACCAAAAGCCGTAAACCCTAAACCCCTAAACCCCTAAACCTCCAAACCCCAAACTTCGGCCGCCAAGAAGCTGCCCCGAGGAGGCCGAAGGAAGCCCGGAGCTCGAGCGCGAGCTCTGCGCCGCCGGAGACCTGGCAGGTACTTAAAGGATCATGGGACTTAGTAGGGGTCCTTAAGGGGCTCCCTTGAAGGGAATCTATAGAGGTACTATCAGCGTTTAGGGTTTGGGGTCTACTTAAAGGATCATGGGACGTAGTAGGGGTCCTCAAGGGGTCCCTTTAAGGGAATCTACAAGGGTACTATCAGGGTTTAGGGTCTACTTAAAGGATCATGGGACTTAGTAGGGTCCTTAAGGGGTCCCTTTAAGGGAATCTATAGAGGTACTATCAGGGTTTAGGGTTTAGGGTCTACTTAAAGGTAATACAGGGACCTTAACAATTCAGCAGGGTTCCCTGTAAAGGGGTCGATATAAGCGCTACTATAAGGGATCTATAAGGGTACTATAGTATGGGGGCCTTAATAATTAGAATAGAGTTTTGAAGCCCATTATACTAGAACTCCCCAAAAATGATATAGGTAATCATTTAGACCCCTACAGTAGGGCAGGGTTTTAAGGCTTAGGGCGTTAGGGCTTTAGGGTCTTACAGTCTCAGGGCTCGGGGTTTTAGGGTTTAAGGTTTTAGGGGTTAAGGTTTTAAGGTTTAGGCGTGTAGGATTTTAGGTTTTGGGGTCGGAAGGTCTAGGATTTAGAGCTTTAGGGCTTCGGGTTTAGGCTGTGCTGGTTTGGGGTTCTTGTAAAGGGCCCACACAAGGTTTTATTAGCGTTCGCTGATCTAAACCCAATAAGCCCTAAACCGTGGCTTTTCTCTGAAGACTTCGGGGCGAACAGATAAGAACGAAGACCAGATGCGCGAAGTTTCGGCTGCCCAGAGACTCCAAAACCTCATAATGAAGGAATAGACCCTCTATAGTAGTTGAAGGGAAATTCCTGAATTCTTGGCTCCACGATGCTGGGACCTGCCAGGAAAGGGCGCGCACGCTTTAAACCCAAAAATTCATCCCTCAATCTTAGACCCGAATCCTTAAACAGTATGATCCCTAAACGGGGTCTTGGAGTGAACCTACAGTAGCGCCAGGGTCTCCTTTAAAGGGTTCTTATCAGGATTGCTATCAGGGATCTACCCTAAACCCTAAACCGCTCCTGGTGATTAGGGCTAGGAGGGCGAGGAATGGGGACTCAGCCAGCCGGGCCATAGGGCAAGCTTCCCCTCTTAAGGGATCTATGAGCGTACCTTTGTGGGGTTCCTTTAAGAGGTCTATAGCGGGTTTAGGGCTGATGATATAAATCATGCATTAACCCATAAAGAGGAAGATGACATAATTTAGTTTAGGGTCCTTAAGGCAATGCAGCATTTACATCATCAACGGTGCTGCTACGAGTACAAACATGAATACGAATGCTCACTAGCGCAAATGCTCATACTACTACCGATGTTGCCATTCTAGATTACATTCATGTCTGGAGAAGTCCGAAAGTGCTGAAAACCTAATTGATGTGGACACTTCTTGCGGTTTGCGAGCCACTTTTGCTACACTGCGCCATGGGAAGCTGCTGCTATCTGTTCCATGAATCGACTTGCGCATGAGATCTGCCTTCTCCACGACTACGTCACTAGTGGCTGCTGCAAATCTGCTATCACGGACTTCGGCTGGCTGAGTTTACGGGCAAGTCGCTGGCCCAAAGAAATGCCCGGGACTTCCACAGCTGCGTAGCTGACCAGTGCTAGAGCGAAGGCAAAGAGTGTATAAAGCACCGCCCATGCATAGCAGATGCCGGCCACAGCTGGCTGCGAGAGAGATGCAAGTGTTTTTGCAGGCTTGCTCGTAGCATCGGCGAGTGGGGCTAAGAGCCAGGGTGCCACAGCAAAGCTCACAACCTGCAACATGTACGCGGAGTAGCTTAGGCGCGCAAGGGGGCGCCAGACTGGCCAAGAAAGCACCTTGTTCAAGCACGGCTCATGGCCACTGAGACTCCTCCACAGAAGGTACCCGGCGGCAGCACCGACGAGCGGCCGTCCCAGCACGAAGTGCAGCTTTGCAGCTTGACGGCCGAAGGGCCACCTCGGCATGGGGCTCTCGAAGCCCAGCAAAGGTCCACCACCTCCAAAGTAGGCGCAATCCGCAAGAAAGGCCCAAGACGCCAGAGCGAACATCCTCTGGAAAACACCCGGTAAGGACAGAAGTGGAGTGCTTTCGCGGGATGATGTCCCATGGCAGAGCACAGATACTGCCACTCCGATGACATACGGGGCACATCGATACTGCGTCCCTGTGTACCACACGCTTCCGTTCATGGCAACCACTGCAAGCAGCGCAGAATGTCGAGCTACACAGCATGCGACCCACACGCAACCGCAGATACCGATAACCACCCACGCAAACTCGCACTGCCTCCGTAGGCGAAGTGCAAGCATCATGAGTAGCGGAGTCACCAAGTAAAGCTGCATCTCAAGGCCAACACTCCAAGATTGTGGGGCACATTGCCCTTCCTCCTGTAGGTTGACAGTCATGTTCTCGATGAACATCAGCTTCTTCCAGAAGGCCAGCCGACAGGCTGCAAATCCTTGAGTAGCAATCGCCAGAAAGACTGCCATGTAGAACACGGGCGCGATGCGGAAAACTCTGCGAATCAGGAATGGGACCCAGTTGAAGGATGCATCTTGCCTGATTTCCTCGAAAACAGAGCTGCCAATGAGGTAACCTGAAAGTAAAAGGAAGAAATCCACTCCCAGATCTCCGTTCATCGGCACTGCTACTGGCCACCACGACGTGAAGAATAGCTGGAATGTCCCTGGAACTGACATGGCCGACATTTGCCAGAGGAAGAACGCATGGGAGAAGCTCACCCAAACACAGCTGATCGCGCGTATGCCATCCAGCGACGGGACCTTACTTTGCTTCCATAGGGAGCGCAGCACATCGCTCGACACGAGAACTGCCATGGAGTCCTATGCTTACCGCGCGCTTTGTCGCAAACTTCTTGAGATAAAAGCGAGAAGCCAGTGCCCAAATATCCCAAGCACCAAACCCTGAACCTTTCAAGGCCAAAATACTGAAATCCTTAGCATTTTAAGCTTCTTCAAATCTAAACCCATCCTCAAGCCCAAAGACACTCTCGCAGCCCAAGCCCCAGAATGCAAGAAGCCCCTGCACCCCTGAAGCACCTGACCCAAATGCAAGTCCTTGAATCTCTAAACCAAATGAGGCTCCTTGAATCCCTATACCCTAAACCCTAAAGACTAAACCCCAAAACCCTAAACCCTAAAGACTAAACCCCAAAACCCTAAACCCCAAAGACTAAACCCCAAAACCCTTGGTTTGTGGCCTCACCGAGGATGTCGGAGTCGGAGAGGCATACGGGGCCCAGAAGCAAGGCCTCCGGAGTATGGGGGCTTGGGATTTAGGGTTTAGGGTTTAGGCTTTAGGGTTTCGGGATGTCTTTCAGTGTACTTGTAACTTCAGCTTTTTCCTCCAGGCCGCAGAAAAGTTTGGCATCAGGCGGAGAAGATTCTGCAAACGCAGCTCGAGCAAGCCCCGAGCTGCAGCCGTAGACAAACACCGAGAGCCAGCGGAATCAACCGCTTCCATCAGCCCCGGTTTCAGAACTCACCACAAGTCGCCAAGCACTCTCGAAGCCAAACTCACTTCTGTTTCGCACTATGACCTCGAAGCACAAGTTGCGTGCATGCCCCCTGAAGTGTTGGTTGAGATCCTGGGTGGCCTGTCGACATCCGCTGGGTGTTGTCAATGCCATGAGAGGAATGAGAGGCCACACAAGAACAATCGATACAAGGCCCGTTATGGAGGACAGAGGCGGGTCAGGGTCGCCAATTTTGTAGTCATTCTTTCCTGACAGAAGCATGCCGATGCAGGACACCACGAAGACAGCAAGACATAGAGATATCGTGATGCCGCAGCATCTCTGGATTCGGAAGCACCGTTAAACGATGTCGCTGAATGCATCTATATCGCTTTGCGATAGGCTAAGAACTCTCCTCAAAGCCTCCAATTGCAATCCCAAGTGGTGAGAATACTGAACATCTCCAGAAATCGAGGCCAACCTGGACCGTCCGATGCGGAGCCGCCAGAGCATTATCTTCAGCCACAGGAGGTGCGGGAGCGGGACCAAGAGCCAAATTCCGCAATTCCATGTTCTGCACCACTCCCTCCACTTGCGCCTCAGACACGCCAGCCTGCAGCAGGGCATCTCTCATGTTGACTTCTTCTTCGGCCATTGCGCGTGTGTCGAGCTTGGCAGCTGTGCGGTTCAGCTTGAGCCGCCTCGGCTGATACCAGAACCTGGGCATATCACCCGATGAATGCGTGGGGGTTTACAGTTCCAACCTGAACAGAGTCCCATGAAAACGTGGGCACAGGTAACCTCCAAAGGTGTAACGGATCTCACGGCAGGGTCCAACACTCACTGTATCGACTCATACAATTGCACACAGAACCAACATATGGTTTGTATAAAGAGCTAAATGTGGATCAAAGCCATCAAGACTTAGCGCAGACTGAAATAAAGCAGTCTACGACGAGATTTAGCAGCTGCGAGGAGTAAATATGTCGATCTCAAACAGTTGCTGGTTTCGATCCAATCGCAAGAAATCTGAACACACAGAATACTGGGGAAGGGGAATGTTATTGAAACAGGAAAACGTGCTTTTGCCGTTGATGGCATGCGCGAACATTCCTTACATGGGAGTTTCCGAAAATTGGGGTACCTTATTTTGGGGTCCTTATAATGAGGATCCTACTGTTTAGGGTACCATATTAGGGTCCCCTATTTTCGGAAACTCCCACATGTTGCGGGAGGAGCAGAGCCGAGCAGAGCCTTCAGAGTTCAGAATGCTGAATAGTGTTCTTCGTCGCTTAAATACAATTGCGATGAGGCGCTGAACACTAAACCCTAAACCCTAAAACTTAAAACCTAAAACCCTAAACCTACGCCCTAAACCCTAAACCCCACACTAAACCCTAAACGCCAGACCCTAAACCCTGAACCCAAACCTTAAACCCAGGGGCTTTACAAGGGTATCTGGAAGGGTTCGATGAGGCTTCTACCTAAACCCTAAACGAGGTGTCTACCTAAACCCGAAACGAGGCGTCTACCTAAACCCGAAACGGCAAACCACTACAAAAATCCAGGGCTTAGGGTTTAGGGTCTAGGGCTGCTGTTCGCGCTCCAGGTCTAGCATCGAAGGTCTTCGGAAGGTCTTCAGGCCCGACCTCTATTGTGTATCTTGGGCCATGCCGGGTCTGGGATACTTAAAGGATCATGGGACTTAGTAAATAGGTTATAACTGGGGTTATAAGTCCCCTAAGTGGGGTTATCCTAATTATAACCTACTTATAACCTTACTTAGTAAGTCCCATGAGCCTTTAAGTAGAGTCTCAGCCTTTATACAAAGCTTTCGTGCTAAGGGCATTTATGGATGTCGAACCGTCATGCCCAAAATCGCCAAACCCTAAACCCAAACCCCTCAACCCTAAACCCTAAACCCTGAACCCTAAACCCTGAACCCTGAACGCTAAACCGAGCCTCAACCCCTCGGCCTCGGAAGTTTCAATCGCCAAAAGCCCTGCCTGACCCTGATAACCCAATATAACCCTACTTATAACCTACTTACTAAGTCCCCTGCCCCTCCAAGTAGATAAGGGTACTCTAATGATACTATTTTGGTCCGGTAAGGGATCTATAAGGAAACGATGTAGTATGGGGCCCTTAATAATTAGAATAGGGTTCCCTTTCAAGGGATCTCTTTCAGGGCTTCTACAAGGGATAGCATAAGGCTAATTATAACAAGGAGCCCCAAAACCCTACTCTAATTACTAAGGCCTCTACACGACGTGCCTGGCATACCACAGGGATGGACCACCTCAGTCTTGTCTTGGAGGTTCAGGGGGAGAGCTTAGGGTTTAAGGTTATGACGTAATGGTGTCTGTACTTCTGACCCGACCTATGACTTGAGTCATTGCCCTACGAGGGCTTGGAACTTGACTTGGCAGTAAGGACCAGTGGACATGATTGAAGCATGACTATAGAGTTTAGGGGTTGGGGTTTAGCATCTTGGGCAGCAAGATTGCAGCACCCCCGAACTGACTGCAAAGGCTTGTGGATGAGGTCCTGTTGGCAAACGGGCATTTCAGAGTATCCGAAGCCGATCAGTTTTGCAAGTCGGTCACTCGTCTCTCTTTGGATTCAGGGCATAGGGCCTGTGTCTCTTTATATACACGCATGCGTAGATAGCTTCAGCTGTGGGCATGTGCAAGTGTTGCTCTGTACATATACGGATACACACCAGCACTGAATTCTTGACCAAAGAATGTCCGTTTACTTGCTGGCACGAATCTGCATTTGTGCATGTGTATCCATCTAGAAAAATGTATGCAGGTCTGGCTGTCTGTGTGTCTGTGTGTCTGTGTGTCTGTGTGTCTGTGTGTCTGTGTGTCTGTGTGTCTGTGTGTCTGTGTGTCTGTGTGTCTGTGTGTCTGTGTGTCTGTGTGTCTGTCTGTCTGTCTGTCTGTCTGTCTGTCTGTCTGTCTGTCTGTCTGTCTGTCTGTCTGTCTGTCTGTCTGTCCGTAAGACCTACATATATGCGTTTTGACTTACCCTGAAAACCTTGCGGTCCTTCTGTCGCGGAAGGACTGTTACATTATTGTTGGGTCCTGTAGTTCAGGCTTCGGGAGGTTAAGTTCGGTTCTTGGGGCTGAGCAGACGAATGTAAGTTCTGAAGGAAGCCCTGTTCCGCTTTCGCTTCTGTACCGTAGCAATGTCGTCCGGGCTTGCACTGTACAAAAGCCGCACCGGCCTGCTCCCTTCACGCCCGTCTCAACAGCTGTCCGGCTTGGGGCGAAAGGCCCTCAGGCCGGCCGTGGGGTCGGGGTTCAGGGTTTGGGGCACAGCTTGTACATCGCTTGGAAGGTCTCTTCGAAGTTCTCAATGCCGGTCTTGACAAACGTGGTTTGCTTGGAGTCGACGTCGGCTGGGTCGGGCAGGAGCCATACCTTAAGCTTCACAGTTGTTTTTGTGCCTGATGAAAAAGTCCCATGACGACGGCTAGACGTTGATGATGGTGACGGTGATGATGATGATGATGATGATGATGATGATGATATGTACTACTACTACTACTACTACTACTACTACTACTACTACTACTACTACTACTACTACTACTACGACTACGACCACGACCACGACCACGACCACGACCACGACCACGACCACGACCACGACCACGACCACTACTACTACTACTACTACTACTACTACTACTACTACTACTACTACTACTACTACTACTACTACTACTACTACTACTACTACTGCTAGTGTTACCACCATAGATCTTTATTGTGACTGCTGCTGCTGCTGTCGCTGTTGCTGTCGTTGCACTTTGTGGTGTTTCTTAACACTAAACTGGTAGTAGTAACAGTAGGCGTGGTATAAGTAGTCGTCGTATGTCGTCGTCCGAGTCGTAGTAGAAGTAGTTGTCGCCGTCGTCCGGGTCGTAGTAGCGGTTAGTAAGCGGTAGAGTAGTAGTCGTAGTAGTCGTCGTCGTAGTAGTAGTAGTAGGAATAGTAGTAGTAGTAGTAGTAGTAGTAGTAGTAGTAGTAGTAGTAGTAGTAGTAGTAGTAGTAGTGGTAGTGGTAGTGGTAGTGGTAGTGGTAGTGGTAGTGGTAGTGGTAGTGGTAGTGGTAGTGGTAGTGGTAGTGGTAGTGGTAGTGGTAGTAGCAGTAGCAGTAGCAGTAGCAGTAGCAGTAGCAGTAGCAGTAGCAGTAGCAGTAGCAGTAGCAGTAGCAGTAGCAGTGGCAGTAGCAGTAGCAGTAGTAGTAGCAGTCGTCGCGTCCTGGTCGTAGAAGCGATAGAGCGGCGGTAGTAGTAATCAAGTAGTCGTCGTTTTCATAGCCGTCGTCGTGGCCTAGCGCTGGCCGCTAGTAACCGCTAGTACTCGTGTTGGCAGCACTCCTAGCACCAGCAAGCGGAGGAGGAGGAGCAGGGCAGCCAAGGCAGCGGAGCCCCACTTCTACTCCAACTCTGCCAACTGCTACTGTTTACTCCTGCTGCCCGGCTGCCCTGCCACTCAATCCTCTTTCGCTCCTACTCCGACTGCCACGCCAAATGCTGCTATGTCTGCTATGGTCATAACAGTGCAACAGCTGCTCCTCCTGCCATCACTCCTGCTGCGACGGACTCTGTTTCCTTCGGCTCTCCCTACCCATGCTGCCACGGCGGCAATGACCACCACGACAGCTACGACGTGCCGGTTAAGATGAGACCAGGTGCAGCAGATCATGTTAGACTTATGCGCAGGCCCTCAAACAATTTCGACACAATGCCCAGTGACGATTAAAGTCGGATCGTTCCCTCGTGATGCCTCTGCAAAAGGCTTGCCCATGGCCGGTGACAGGAGAACAGCTGCATTGGATCCGGGAAGCATGCCCAAGACTTTCTGGCAGAGCTCCTGAAATCTGGCGTTCAAGGGCTCGAGATGCTTTTGCTTTAAGGGACCCACAAGGGCTCTTTTTCCGGGTTGAGGGTTTGAGGGATTGAGGGTTTGTGCGTTGTTGGTGGTTCGGGGTTTGTCTGCGGCGTTGCAAACCCAAAACCGAAAACACTACAAGACAGGCATGGTGCCTGCGCCTTCTCCGTGTCCGGCAGCGCTTTCATGGCCACTCGGACCTCTGCCAGCAGGTCCCGATGCATGCCGCAGGTCCGGTGCTCGTACGCTTCGCTGGAGAGCAGGCTGGAGACGGACAAAGCCATGGCGCGGGGCTGAGATGTAGGGTGTAGAGTTTAGGGTTTCTGGTTCAGGGCTGAAGGGTTTAGGGTTAGGGTTCAGGGGTTCAGGGGTTCAGAGGTTCAGGGGTTCAGAGGTTCAGAGGTTCAGGGGTTTAGAAGTTTAGGAGTTTAGGGGTTCAGGGGTTTAGCGGTTTAAGGGTTCCAGGGGTTCAGGGGTTTAGGGTTGATTCAGAGGTGGCGCCGGCCCGCCGTCCAAAGCCCTGGTAGCAACAAGGCCCTTGCACGGCGAAATCGCGATTAGGGAGCCTTTACCCCTAGGGCTCTAAGGACTCATATATTAAGGCTTTTGGGCCCAAAGACCATACTATATAAGGCTTTTTGGGGCTGTTTTGATGCCCAGGGTAAGGTATATTCCTTAATTAAGGGCTATTGGAGTCCCTATATAAACCCTAAACCCTAAACGTTGGGCTTTAAGGGCTTTCAAGGCTTTAAGGGCTTTCAGGGCTTTAAGGGCTTTAAGGGCTTTGGGCTTTGGGCTTTAGCTTGTTGGGCTTCTGTTTGGCTTCAGGCTGAGGATTTTGGGTTTTGAACCGTGGTTTTTGGCACCTGAAGTTTCCGGGCGCCGAGTCTAATTTCCCAAGTTACCCTAAGCCCTGAACGCAAGAAAGACGCGAAACCTTTAAAGCTCCTGTAACACTCCAAACAAACCTGCAACACCCATAAAACCCAAAACACACCTACAAAGCCCCATCATGCAGCCCTACACAACTCGATAAAGCTGTCTAAAACCCTGCTTGGGAGCGGGCTCTTTCGCCAGGAAGTGCTTGAGAGCCTTTGCGGTGCCTTGGGCAGCTGTTGAGGCTCCAGGCGTAGGGCTTAGGGTTCCTTAAAGGGATCTATAAGGGGTGCCTTTAAAGGGATTCGTAAGGGATCTATAGGGTTTCGGTTTAGGGATTTAGGGTTTTAGGGTTTAGGGTTTTAGGGTTTAGGGTTTTAGGGTTTAGGGTTCTGGGTTTAGGCTTCAGGCTTTAGGGTTTGGAGTTTGGGGTTTTGGGTTCAGGCTCTAAGGTTCAGGGTTTAAGGTTCGGGCTTCAGGGTTCAGGGTTTAGGGTTTAGGCTTCAAGGCTCAGGGTTTCGATTTTGCTGGTGTTTTGTCGTTTTACGGATGAAGCTTGAGGCTTACGATTTACTGGTTCAGCTTCCACGATCGGGCGGGTAGATTTACGCGGTCTGAAACCCCAACGACTTATCAAGAGTGGTCCAAGGCGAAGGGCTGGATCTGAAGGTTGAGCTGCCCAGAGAACTGTCAAGGGAATAGGAGGCCAAAACTGAAACACTCGGAGATTCATCCCTAAACCCTGAACCGTACGCCCTAAACCCTAAACCTTGAATCCCTTAACCCTGAACCCTGTCTCACAAACCCCCCACATTACGAACAGTAGGGCTCTAGTTCTTCGCCCCTGAACTCCCCATAGGCTGAATGTTGTTGAGATTTAAGGTTAGGGCCCTAAACCCTAAACCCTAAACCCTAAACCCTAAACCCAAGCCTTCGTTCCGAACCTCGAGGTCTACATCGGCAATCTGTACCTGCAACCTTGGCTTCTGAAGCTCAAGCCCCCACAGCCTGTAGGATTTAGGGTTTAGGGTTTAGGGTTTAGGGTCAAAGCCACGCGACCCAAATGCCCAAAATCGTGCAATCTGTAATCGCTACACCCGGAACATCTTGAACCCTGCGGCCCTAACTTGCAAGCCCTCAAAACCTCACACGCACCATCATCCCTGGTGCATGGTTGGGATAGGAATTAACATGAAAATTTCTATACCTGCTTAGGCTCAACTACCCATAAAAGCATAAAATGTTACACAACTATGACGAAGATCCAAGGTGCTCTTGGCTGGGAAGCGCCTTGTAAGCCGACGCCCCGAATCAGTGGTGATGGTTACATCCAGGTCGCCATCCATGGCTTGACTGTCGTGGGCAAGGGCCGAAGATCCCTAAGTTATAACCCTTAAACCCTGAAACCTGAAACGGCTTAGGGTTTCTTTTTCTTGAAAGCCCCTTAGGGTTTAGGGTTTCGGATCTGAACCCTGAACCCGAAATCGTACACCCTAAACCCTAAATCCCTCAAAGACCCCTGTGAAGCACTTAATCTGCTGGGCTTGAAGGCTCACAGGTCGTGAATCCAAAACCCATAGTATGGCCGGTGTAGGGATTGGGGCACGGGCTTGCGGTTGATCGCTACTACACCCTCAAACCCTTTCAAACCTGTTGACCCTAAGAACCCTAAAACACCCTAAAATGCTTTAAAACACCTGTTAACCCTACAACCCTAACACCCAGAGCCCTAACCCCGTAAACCCTGAAACCCTAAACCCTAACCCCGTAAACCCTCAAGTCCTAAACCCAGAACCCCAACGCTGAAACGCACTTGCGCAGAACCTTTTGTCTGGCAAAAATACAGATAGTAACAATAAAAATAACAGTAAAACAATAGTAAGAATAATAGTAGTAATAATAATGGTAATAATAGTCATAAGCTCTGAATCTTGAGTGCGACACCCAAATCCTAGACAAACAACTACACGTCAAACCTGAAGCACCCTACCCCCTGAAACTCTTCACCCTGTACCAACCAGTACCAACCCAGCCGCGACCCACAAGAACCTGCAACTTGCGCATTCTTTTTCCTTGCTGCGCCAACTTTCCGCTTTGGCGGGTACAACTGACGCCGGATTCTCGATTGCGAGGTGTTGCTTGAGGCCTTTCCAGATCGGCTACTTAAAGGGTCCTGGGACGTAGGAATTGGGGATATAAGTAAGGTAACTACAATTATAAGTACTTATAACCCCAATTAAGGTACTCATAACCTACTTACTAAGTCCCATGATCCTCCAAGTAGTGTAAGGGGCCTCAATAATCAGAATAGGGTTTTGGGGATTCCTGATGATATCTATAATATACTGATGGACAATATCGCGCGTTGCCTTGAATTACCCTGAAGTATGAAAAACTTGTGAATTTCGCGTCAGGAACCCTAGACTCTGAACAATGAAACCCTGAAGCCTAGAGCCCTCACAAAACCTCGAAACCCGGACTTCCTGAGACTTGACACATATATATAGGGGCCCCCAGCAAGCACATAGGCAAAAACGAGGATAGGGATATCCCATATAAATTCCTTATAATGCAGCCCAATAAGGTAGGGATATCCCTATAAAATGTTTATGCTTACATCCTTTTTGGGTCCTAATATATGAGTCTTTGAGCGAGGCGTCTCGAGTTCGCGGCTTCGGAGTGGTCGGTGCCAGCAACTGTTTCACAGTGGCTTCGTGCATCTCGATGCTTCCAGGGAGCCCTTTCTGCTACTCACGTTGCATTCCTTACACTCTACTTGGAGGATCACGGGACGTAGTAAGCAGGGTTACAAATACCTTAATTGGGGTTATAAATAGTCATAACTGTAGTTTCCTCACGTACAACCGCCATTACTAAATCCCATGATCCTCTAAGCACACTCTATTGAATTCCAGTACTATAAACTCATTAAACTTTCCATTACAAAATCCCCTCACCTTCCAGCACAGTCCACACCATTCCGTTACAGTACAGTACGGTACAGTACCGTGACATTACATTGCGTTCCATTCCGTTCTGCTACACTGCTACACTACACTACAGTGACCTCCTATGACATCGCTTTACGTTACATTACGTTACTTACTTTACTTTACATTGCATTGCATGCATGTTACACACATGTGACAATCGTCACTGCATCCGAAATGTCAGACGTCTTCAAGTAGTGGTCACGTGCCGGGAGCCAGGGATATGATTTTGAATATTTCAGGGTTGGGAGTGGCATACAATTTACACAGACGTATACAATGCCTGTAGAATTTATGCATGTGTAAGCATCTTACCAGGTCACACCTGGTTTTGACTGATGAAATTGGAGGGAGGGCGTCCGGTATACGGTGTCTAACTTTTGAAGAAAGGATACTGAGAGTAGAATTCACTCGGAGAAAACCCTGAAAAGCTTTTTAATCCGAAACCTGAAACCCAAGCTCCCGGTGGGCGCAAAGTAGCCGAAAAGCCTTGTACACCATGGTCTTTGGGCCAACAGCCCTATTGCATGAGGTATGGAGGCTCAAAGATATACAAAACCCACAACTGAACCTCACACCCTAAACCCCTAAACAGTAACTCCCTAAATGGCCCTAATTAGTAACCACTGGAATCAAACACTCGCAGCCAAGAGTTGGCTTGGCTAAAGGGGCTCCTTGAAGCTCAATGGCGAGTCCGCAATGCCGCCCTCAAGCCATGGAGGGTTCTCAAGTCCTAGTAATAGGGGCCTTAATAATTAGAATAGGGCTTTGGCCTTAAACCCTAAACCCCTGAACCCTTAAACCCCGAAACCCTAAACACCTAACCCGCCCGGCCTCCAGTGGCTCTCAGGTGCTCCGTTAAAGGGAGGACGGAGATTCTCACTCCACTGGGTTCTTGCCAAGGCATCTAACTTAAGTTACCATTGTAGGGACCTATAGTACATAATATGGTGTCCTCATTATGGTAACTTAAGTTAGATCCCTAAACCCATCCCTTACAGGAACCCTTATAGATCCCCAAGAACCCAGGCAAATGAACTCAAAGGACCGTTTCGGAGGCGGCCGCCACTTGGGGGCTATCAGGCTTCAAGGTCTAAGTCCAAGGATTAGCGGTTCATATTACGTTGTCTTTTGACATCGTATGGTCGAGTATCGTTTAGTATAGTATAGTATCGCGTAGCATAGTACAGTAGCGGTGCGAGGGTGAGGGCTGTAGGTGGGGTTGTGGACTGGGCCGGAGAAACCTGTTGATGATATAAATCCTGAATTACCTTAAAGACCCTAAACTGTGGGAATTATGGGATATTCCTTATTATGGGTCATGCAGGATTTATATCATCAACCGAACCCAGATTTGTGGTCGCTGGTTTTGTCTCTTCGCTCCCATCTTGCAAGCCCTGAATACCTTGGAGGGGGCC